ACATAACATGTAGGATACAGGTTTGCTTTCCAGTGGTGAGGATGTGCAGTACAGAGTTTTATTTCCTTGGGAGTCTGTGTAGTCTTCTGCAGTTTTTAAAGCTTATGAAGGCTACATCTCTCAGGTATAAATGAAACTCATATCTTGTCCTGGGCTAGAATGATAAGCAGAGTATGATAAGCAATGTGATTTGGATTCTGGGGAGGGAAATTCCTGATTTTACCAAGACATCAACCAGGGAAACTGGTGTATTTTTGAGCATGCTGACACTCAAACTATGGGACATCCTCAGCCATGAGAAATAGTAGCAGTCAGGTTTCAGGACTGGCAGTTTCAGATTCTTGGATCCTTCAGATACGGAAACTTGCCAAAGATGTGTCTGTTGCAATCCCTGCTGAACAGGGATCAGCTCCTTGGTTTGAGGCTGGGGTGGGGCAGTGTAATGTTTCTGTCTAGTGCAGGAGGTAATGGAGCATGGAAGCTAAGAAAACAGTGTTTCTCTTTTGCTACTTATATTAAACAGCCACCAGAGCTAATATGAAAGTTGTGTTTTGAAGAAAAAAGAAATGTAAATTAGCTTAGTCACAAGTGTAATATTCTGAGGGAAAGCCCAAAACTGCAATCCATGCAAAGCAAGTGATCCTAGAAAAACCCTGCTTTTCTAAACTTGATTTTCAAATTAAGATTTATTTTGTAAATTTGTACAGTGCAATTATTGTATCTATTATCCTTATTCTATTTAGTTTTGAAGTGGGGCATTTGAATTTGTAACTAGATGAAAGCATTGCATTCTCATGACCCCCTTTATAAATTTAAGAACAAAAATAATTATCTTGTTTGTCTCACTGTAAAAGAGCCCTTGACGCATACCTTGTCAGATTATAGACTTTATATCCTAATTACAAAAAAACCCACCATTTCTACTTAGAGGTTTGAACTCAATCTGGTTGCTTTTAATTTGAATCAGGCCATAGAAATTTAGGGTCTGTGAAATCTAAATCAACAAGGTCTTATTAAAATTCTAGCAAAGTACTAACCTGATCTAGTGCTTGTTATCTTGACAGGCTTGTCCCAAAACAGTCTGCTATAATAATCTTATGAAGTTAAATACCACAGTACGGAGTCCAATCAGAAAAAAAAGCATTACAGTATTTAGTACTTCACATGATAAATTAATTTGGCACTTAAGGCAACGATATGGATGTATTAGAGCATTCATTCCATGGTTATCCCCTAGATACTCCTGGGACAGTAGCAATCAACTCCTGCCATTTGCAGAGTATATTCAGTGTGGTGTATTACAGAGAATAAATCAGGATTTGTCTTCTGACTTCAGGCAGTTCCACAATGAAAAGTTAATCTATGGCAAGAGCTGGAGCCCACCCTCAGTAGACTTGGAGCTTTCCATCTGCATAAATACTATAGTTTATGTCCACTTATATTTCTGAAATACTTTCCACCATTATTTATTATTTCTGTTCAATAAAGAAAAATGCCAGAAGTCTCTTGAAGCCAAGTTAAATGTAGATGATGATGATGGTGATGATGTTGATGATAATGATTAATCAATTAAATATAATAATGGAAGACTAATGCCCTTAGTAAAAAATATTTGTACAAATACAAACCTAGATAGGGAAAACATTAATTTCAATCAGATTAGGATCTGCAGCACAGAATCAGAGAAATGTTAGGATGTAACCTATTCCATCTATTCCATCACACCTATTCTATCTTCCTAGCTAAAGACAATGTTTGTTTTTAAAAATGCTTTGTTTTCTTATGAATTTTGGACTATTTTTATACACTGTTTTCCATTTGAATATTAAAGGTTTAAATTCATAGCAGTTAAATTTGAAGATGTGACTTCTAACTGGCTAAAATACATGGAAGAGAAGAAAAAAAATTAGCAATCTGACAAAAAGTAACACTAAAAGTTGTCAGTGCTTCATATGCACACAGTGTTTTATTTGTATAAAGGGTATAGTTATATAGAGAGAAAGCTAAGAGGAAAAAGCAAAAACAAAAAGCTTTATAATGCTTACAAGGTTAAGTACACACACAAATTGGCAAAAACAAATTTATTCATGCTCTCTTAACTTCATCCCTTTGTATCAAAAAGTTTCACTTTGGTCATGAGCTTTCCGTGCAAATTTAGACTTTTTTTCAGTGGATGAAATAGAAGCTGCTTAATGGCTACAATGTCATTTTAGACTCCCTCACCCCTCTGTTGAAATCCCAAAGCACAATAGGTATACAAAAGTGTACTTCTTTCTTGCTATTTCCCCATACTTCCCTTCCCTTTAGTACTTTCCCCTCTAAGAATCTTTGAATTATCATTTGGTAAGCAGGACTCTAGCTTCTGGTTCTTCAGTGTAACAGCCAAATGCCCAGTGTAACAGCTAAATTTCTGCCCAATCAACAATAAAATTACTTTGAAGTGATGGAAAGGCACTCCTACTGCAGAACAGCATGTCAGTTATTTATAAGATAGCACACATTCAAAGTTTCCTGGTTGGCTTGCCACTTTTCAGACTCTTGATATATATTGATAGTGTGGATCTGCCTTACCCATAATGGCAGTAGAATATTAGCTATTGTAACTGATAAAATTCTGTATCTACTAGGGCTTTTCTATTGATTTATTAATTTACTAAACAAACATAATTTTTTTTTTTAGTGCTGTTATTATTTATTGTGAGAATAGCTTATTATGTTAGGTGCTGTTTTTTGCTTCCATCTATAGTACCTTGCTTAGTCTCTGAGGTGCATCACAAGCACTCTGCTGACAAAGGCTGATTTTTTTCTCTGTCTAAGGAAACAACTGTAACAAAACATAATCTGATTATAAAAGAACAAAGCCAATGAAATATTTTTTTATTTACTTGTTTAAGATTCTAGTCAGCTTTGATGGAGCTATTTAGGAAATCTATCCCTCTAATGAATATCATACATCTATGCCTAATTTTCAGTATACTTAAATATTTCATGGGAACTGTCATTTATTTGCAAATTCTAATGGCAAGGAACTGTATAATTCTGGACTCTCCCCAGATTTTTATAATCAGAATTGCTTAAAAAAAATAAACTACTGCCTCTCAACTTCCCTGCTATTATGGTTTTATGAAGATTCAGCTTTATGTAACAGTCATACAGGAACCATAACAGTTCAGCTCCTGGCTGTTTCTGTTATGGACTCTAGTTTTCCCTCAAGAGCAATCAATCAGGTTAATATCTAGTGCTTTTAAAGACTTTCACTTCTCCAGCCCCCTACACAAATATATCAGTTCTTGAGCCTCCTGCACTCAACCCTGGAATGTCTCTGACACATAGGAACAAAGGGAGATTTCCAGTACAGACTGAAGAAGAAGCATAATTACATTTTAGTAATCCATCTGTATGGCTCCACACTGCTTATCAGCTGGCTAGTACCATCATGTTGTGGTCAAGACCTGGGGAATTATTAACTAAGCTGCTGGACTGCTCTCCAGCACTGACATTAGAGTCAGCTGCCATATTATGAATTGAATGAACTGTTAGCATTTGAATTTAACTCTTTATATTACAAGCTTTACCTACTTCTGTCATGGAAGTTATTCTGAAATACCAAATGCTATGTAGAAATCAGAAAGTACTTTCTAAGACTTGGAGTTACTTAAGACCATATAGTTTACAACTGGCTCATATCAAAGTTTGCATTCATCAAAATCTCTCACTGAAGAATTTCTCCTACTAACATTCCAATATTCTATAAAGCCTGCACACTGGCCAAATCTCATTTATGTACTCTCAAAAACCTTAGCATTAATTTTAACTATTTATCAGAGGAAGCAGATTTTTCAGGTACATCACTACAAATACAGTTTTCAGAGAAACACAACAGATTAACGATTTCATTGCTTTAATGAAAAAAAAAATGAAGCATAATTGGTGCACTTTATTCAGAAAGAGATCTTTTCAAATTGTATGTCTTGCTACATAGTGACTAATATAATACAACATAGGGAAACAATGGCCTTTTTAGAACCAAAATAATTAGAAACAGTAAGTCCAAGAAAATACTGCAGATATTCTAATGTACATTCAGCTCAACAATTATAAGTAGCACCTCCTTGGGGTTTAGATATCTCTTTTAGTAACAAAGCACTTCAATGAACTGATTGTACATTGGAACTCTGTTATAGGCTCCTTCAGAAATCACAGTATAAACAAAACTTATTTTTTTCATGTGATTTCAGTGTTTGGAATTAAGGGTTTAAGAACAAATCTCAGGGAGAAAAATCTCTTTTGGATTGACATGGCACTGAGATTTCTCACTTCCATATTTAATGCCTTTAGTGAAAATCTGGTAATGAAAATATAAAAGCAAATTCATGTTGAAGCAAAAATGTGTTATTAACAACTTTATCAAGGGAGAATGAATAACTAAGACACCAAAGGGTCTTCATTTATGTATAATCTCATTCATATTCAAACACATCTCTAAATACCTGGATATCAAATATAAAGTTTTATAATTATTACAATACACAATCACACTCATTAAGAGTCCTTAAATATCCTGTAATTTGCTGTCATATTCCCAAGACATCTAATTGCTTGCCATAAGTCAAGTCAACTCAATATTTCTGGCAACTCAGTTTTACCCAACTCTCCTTTAGGCTCCTTTTGTTTTAAAGAAATGTAAAATTATAACATCTCTCTCTTTGACTGGCGCCACTTAAAGAAGGAAAAGTATTTAGGTTCATCTTATTCAACTTTAGTTCCTGAAAATCAGACATCCAGCCTTAGTCTGTCATTGGGAAGCTGTTTATAAAGACCAAGGCATATCCATGGTATGATTTATGCACCTGTTGTGCATGGCTGGATAAAGGTTATCATGGCAGTTAAAGAATGTACTGTATCACTTTCCGTCCTCTGTTACTGTGCAACAAAAGACATTATAATGGTTAGTGATATAAAATTAAAAAACATATTTTTTTCTATTCACAGCTATTTGGAATAATGTCAAATATGCACTTTTGAGTAGATCAACTATCCTTTTGCTATTGACACAAATGTCACATTCAGTACTTTGAAGTACTTTTCCAATCGAGAAACTTTATTATTAAATCTTTACAATATTTTCTGCACATAAGCAGTAAATACTTAATTAAATATTAAAAAGAAAAATTCTAATGATGCTATTAAAGTAAGGCAGACTTTTACCTGAAGATGTAAGATTCTGCAGACTCCCTCTCTGCATTTTTACATGATAGCAAGTTGTCTTAATTAATGGCTATTCACAAAGTTCAGAAACTACTTTCCTCAGTACAAGAAGCAATACTTCCTCAAAAGTGTTATGGAAACTGTTGCAGGGGGCTGTTTGATATTAGGCTATGAACTCATGGTAATTTTTAGATTCAAGAAAAAAAGGGGAAGATGATGAGGAACAGATATAAAATCAAAAGAAGAAAAGTATTTGCATATTTGAAGATAAAATTTCCAGTTTTAATCCTCAATGTATAAACAAAGCTTATTTTGCATCCATACAGAATTTTAAATTATTAAATAGCATATGCTGGGCCAGTTGGAAACTCTAAAGAGATTTTTACAATACAACATTCTTGTTTAAATCCATAAGTCTTACTCTTTATTATTTTAATTTTTTTTTTAGGTTTTTTTTTTTAGTTTTTAAACTAACGGAAGATTACAGTAAGACAATCAGGAATATGAACTCTAAGATTAAGAAGCATAGAAAATGCACTTTAGTATGTAGCACAATATGTCATCTCATATATTTTGGCCAGTTATAATACATATTTTTAGTCAACTATCAAAGTATTTTCAAGGGCATAAAAACTGAATCCTCTTCCCCAGAAAGCAGGAAGATGAGCTACTAGATGAACTAATAGATGAACAGAAATTCCTTCTCCATGGGCAACTGAAAGAGTTTCTGTACAGGTAAGAAATTTACTTCTATGGATTGATAGGCTATTTCACATTTACTGTGAAGCTAAATGCACACCTGAGCATGTTTTACAAATAATCCTATGTACCATGTATATTTTTTTATTTATTTCATGATAACCACTCTACTTATCCAAAGCTGAAGACCAACAGAATGTTGAACAGAAAATAGGAATAAAGAAATGAAGAAGAGGTATCGTGGTGTGGGTACAGTCACAAAAATGAGAAGAGGTAGAAAGGAAGAAAGAAGGAATAGAAACCAAATAAGCTAAAAGGAGAAACAGAACACCAAAAATATAGCACCAAATTAAGGCAGCTTATCAGAACCTCTGAAATATGCTGCTGCATATTTCAGACTTTTTTTTTTTTTTTTTTTTTGTATATAGGTAAACTGTAACATTTCTATCAAAACTGCTTCAAATAAACCTTTTCTTATCCTGTTCTGTCAAGGAAGCCAGGTGCTAAAATCATGATTATTCTGAATGAAGGCTACGTGACTAAATTTTGAACTTCCTCAGAGGTTCACTGAAGTTATTGGGCTGTACTGTGTTTCTAAATGAGCGCTGGTATGCACTGTAAATTCAAGAACAGATGTAGTTCCTCTTGAGGGCAATAGGAGCTCTTGCCTACATCTCCCCAAGAACAAAATATCCTTTAAAGAAGAAAATGAGAGCTAGTAATTAATAAATAATGTTACCTTTACAGTCTTCCATTTTATCAAAACTTTTTACCTTCTGACTGAAGAAAATGTAATCAGAGCAGGAAAAAATAAGCTACAAATATTACATAATTAAATTATATGTTCTTTAGAAACACAATCAGATAATAATGTAGGCATTAACGTGTCTGAAATGAAATCATATGGCTGTGCTAAAATTGATCCCCTAAAGAGTAACTGTTTAAAATTATAGTATTTTAATGTTATTAAGGATTACTGCCTATTCAATTTGTTACATTTAATGTTTTATTTCTCTTTTTTAAGTCAAGACCTGTATCATAAGTTTCTAAGTCAGCCACAGAGCTTCACTTAAGGCTCTGTAAATGGCATTAAATGAACTACCTGAAAGTGACTAATATTAAAAACTATTTCCCAGAGAAACAGAATGTTCTTATCTCTCTGTATAAAGTGCTAAATAAGTCCACTTATTTTAAATTAGCAAGACGTTTTAGAAAGTAAAACTTCTTCAAGGCAAGACCACCCCACTTACTGGACTGATAATTCAGTATCAGTATATTATGAGGGTTGTATCAGGTTTCACTGCTCTTAGTTTATAAATGGAAAAAAATGCAGACTCCACTCAAAAAAATTACTGGAAGAAAGGGCAAAGTATGCAAATAATATCTTTATACCTCTGTATAGTCAAACAGACTAGCAACTTTTCAGTCTTCAGAACTGCTTTATGACCTAGCTGCTGCTGATGTTTAATGTTCAGTAAACCTCAAAGTAAGCAAAACAGGAAGTTTATGTTAAGCAAGTACTGCACAATGGACCTTCCATTGTAAAAATTGTATTTCTATTTCAAAATAAGAAATGTGCTTAATATTGTAAAATAATCCTTCTGAAGGGAAAGCTATGCAATGTCACGGTGGCCAAAGTCTTAACACATCTCCTTAGTTCAAGGCAGAGCAGAAGTTGGCTCTACTTCAAAGGACAGATCACGAGCATGGCTCTTAAACTAAGTTTTTAAATTGAAAGAGAAGCACTGTTAAAGGTCTGGGTTGACACTGACCATGCATGTGGGTCACTTGGTGACATTTGATGGGTCCTTTCCTCAAAATTCTTCAGGCAGTAAGTAACAATAAAGGGTTTAATAATAATGATATGCAGCCCATCTTACTGTTGAAAAAGGCTTGTATTAGTCTATATTAGAATCAACTGTAATAGTTTTCAAGGTAAAATTCTCACTTTCATAAAATATTTTGAAAAAAAATATTTTGTTTCCATTTTCAGACCAAAACGCCCCCAAGACTTTTAACAATCTAAATAATTCAGACCTTTTATGTAGACAATGCAAGCTCAGACAGCTAGTGTGATGCAAAAGCAGTGTATTTTTAGACTGAAAAATAATCAATATCTGTATTACACATATCTTAGGGCTTTTACTTCAGACTAGTCCTAATCTACTTCAGACCAGTTTTACAGGCTGAGCACATATTTTTTGAAGCAAACCTCTCCAATAAGCTTCATCCAAAATGGTTCCAGTTTGTGCACTCAAGAAACCAGACAATGATCCAGACAAAATGTGGTAAGTGGGTACAATCAAGCAATTCACTTCAAAGTCACACTCCTATTCAACACAACATGTTACTGTAGACACATGCTGGTTTTCTTGCTTGTGATTGTAAGAAAGATACTGAGGAATAAAAATAACACAATTGAAGTGCATCTCTTAACATACTTTGCAGGAGAATATAGGACAGCTTTGTTCCACTATGATTTTAATTCTTTTTGTTATATAGATGATTGTGTTTTAAAAATTTTAAGTGCTAGTAAAAAGGAGCACTATTAAGAAAATGCAAGATCTTTGGCAAGAATGGTTTGGGATTCCACATTTGCCTAGGCTCTTACAATAATGGTGCACTGTCCCTCATTTTTTTGGATGACGGTCTGGTTTTTAGCCTGGGAACTTGACATCATTTTCTCTTGTGTGCTGCAACAGCTAAGAGACAGATTCTCATTGTCAGACAAATGGCACAGATTTAAGAACTACATATAGTTCTTATCTTTGACATACACAACTGTCCTGTGTGGGCCAAAAGCAAGAACACTGTTAGTTGACTGATGGCTGGAACACCTTCAAGATGTGTCAAGGACAGCTTTACTACATTCAGTAACTTATGTTACTGAACTGCAAAAATGGCAAGAAGTCTGCAAAAGACAAAGCTTGGAAATCCAGTGAAGGGATGAGAAATATTTTTTAAAAGTACATCAGCAGCAGTGGAAAAGCAAAGTGTTCTTCTGATGGGCTGAGTCCCTGAGTTTATCGTAGTTTTTATCCTATCTAGAACAGTGAATGCTTCATATACCAGAAAAGATCAGAATTTCTACATGGTAACCATTAATTATTGTAATGGTATGTCTGAGTGTAAGGGATCTCCTTTCAGATCATGTAATTATGAGCCTGTTATATTGTTGGTTTATGTGGTTTTATCCCCCCAGTTCTATAAAAGAAACCAGACGTAAAATGCCTTACTCCATGGGATTATTTAAATGAATACTACTTACTGAGCTGAATTTGGGCTCACATTCAGAGAGTTATTTTTAAAGCAAAATTTTTTAAGTGACTAAGGTCTCTCCCCTTACCTGAAATCTAGCATTTTTTTCATCTTACTTCTCTGCAATAGGTTCAGTAAGACAAGTGAGCAGATTTGTGATGTGAATATTGATTAAATATTAATCAACATTTGATGGAAAATTGAACATGAGCCAGCAGTGCCCTGGCAGCCAGGAGGGCCAGGCATGTCCTGCCATGCATCAGGCACAGCATCACAGCTGGGCAAGGGAGGGGATTGTCCTGCTCTGCTCTGCATGAGGGCGGTCTCATCTCAGGTCCTGTGTGCAGTTTTGAGTGCCACAATATAAAAAAGACATTGAGCTATTAGAGAGTGTCCAAAGGAGAGGAGCAAAGGTCATGAAAGGCCTTGAGGCAAAGCCTTATGAGGAGCAGCTGAGGTCACTTGGTCTGTTCAGCCTGGAGGAGACTGAAGGGAGATCTCATTGCAGTTACAACTTCTTCATTAGGGGAAGAGGAGGGGCAGGCACCGATCTCTTCTCTGGTGACCAGTGACAGGACCTGAGGGAATGGTCTGAAGTTGAGTACAGGGAGGTTTAGGCTGGATATTGGAGAAAAGTTCTTCACCCAGAGGTGGTTGGGCACTGGAACAGGCTGCCCAGGGGAGTGGCTGACGTACCAACCTGACAGAGTTCAAGAAGCATTTGGACAAAGCTCTCAGGAACGTGGCATGACTCCTGGGGATCATGCTGTGCAGAACCAGGAGCTGGACTTCATGATCCTTGGGGGTCAGTTCCAACTGACTTATTCTGAGATTCTGTGATGCTGTTAACTGTAAAACTAAATGAGGAAGGGAGTTAAGTAAACAATTTTTCAGCACTTATTTTGCTATAGAAAAGAAGGGTACCCATTGAAAAGTAAACAAGGCTAAAGCAAACCAAACCCACTGATGTTTAGTATTATCCAATAGTGGGAGGTTTGTTTTGTAAGTTTGGTTTGGGTTTTTTGTTTGGTTGGTTCTTCTTGTTGTTTTGTTGTTATTTTTGTTAGAGTTTTGTTTTTAAAAACAGTTAAAATTATTAAAGTAATGTCAGAGACTAATGTCACAGACTTTGGTTCAGGTTTAGTTGTCTCTAAACTGCAGACTGCCAAGAGCAAGAATCAACACCATGAAAACTTTATTCCATTTTTGGTCTGTTGTTAGATTTTCCCCCTAGCAATCCTTTATATGCTACTCTAAGTGACAGAAAAACAAAACTAGAAATGGATCTCTGACAGTTCTCTAGGTAAACCTGTCTTGTGGATTTTGGGGTTACATGTAGCCTCTCATTTGCTGTAGATGTCAGGCAAAGGTTCTTCACCTGGAGAATGGTCAGGCACTGGAACAGGCTCCCCAGGGAAGTGGTCACCGCACCAGGCATGACAGAGCTCAAGAAACATTTGGACTATGGTGTCAGGCACACGGTGTGATTCTTGGCAAAGAATTACATCAAAGCTGGACCTGGTGATCCTTGTGGGTCCCTTCCAACTCAGATTATTCCGTGATTCTCTGATTCTTTGAATATGTCTCTATTACACAGGATGCTTTTCACATGCACCATGGACCAAAAGCAAATCCAGAGATTCCCTGGAGTTAATGGAAATTTACATGTTTTAAAACTGAAATTCTTTTTAAATTAATGATAAGAGAGGGAGCTAGACCATTTTCCAGGACCCTCCAGAATTAGAAAGATGCAAAGCAGAGCTATTTCTGTGAGAACTATGTTATGGATTCTAAATCCCACTGAAAAAGTATGAATGATGTATCAAGCAAGGTTTATGAATCCCTTAACTTCATATAATTTTATTTAAAGCTAATGTTCCTCTTTTTCATTTCTCTGTTTACTTAATTTAAAACCAACAGATTGATTCTTCTTCCAGTTCTTTCAGTGTAAAAAATGAAGTTACTCCCCATCCTTTAACCCCATCTCTCACTGAGACCAGTTTTACAGTAGATCAACTTCAGTATTTTGAAATTATACAATAAGAACAAAATTATATCAACAACAGAATCATGCTGATGGGCTTTTCAGAATTAGAATTTTCAGACATTTAGAAACAGCTATCAATCCAAAACAAATTAAGATTAAACTACTGTGCATGCTCAAATTTAAATAATTAATATATAAAGATGTCCAAATAAGGAAATTCAGTGATTATTCATGTACAGAAACAAAAGGCAATATATATAGTTATGCATGTACATATAAAACTTATGTGTGTGTATATATATCTGTACAGATGTACATATATAATAAACTTGAGTTAATTGAAAAGCTTCTTAGGAATGAAACACACTGTTTTGTAGGACTCTGACAGTCTTATCAGGAAATACCTCATGTACCATTTATAAAGATAAAATGACTATACAGATAGACATATCTACTATAAGCTGTTTCATATTTTCTCTGATTCTCTTTTGTTTCTTATCCACAGAAGAACTGTTTTATATACCAATAGAAAGTTTTAGAATTTCTGGGGTTTAGCCTGTACTTGAGAGGCTGACTGTAGGTATTTAATTTCTCAGTTATCCTGTTGCTTTGTTTTACAAATTTTTAGGATGTTCTTTTTTTCAGTATGAAAGGACAGTCACAATCTTGCCACACATATATTCCTTCTATGCATATATTAGAGGGTGATGTGTATGAAAAGCAGTTACTTTCCTGTAAATCTAAATTCCTATGTTTGTTTTCTCCCAATTGGAACAAGCCTAATCCACTGTTTGCATTTGGAAATAAAAATTGAAACATTATCTTTTTCTTTGTTCTATTTGGGCTGCTTAGAACAACAAAAATTCTGGTTAATGCAGTAAAACTCTAAGATCCTGAACTTAAGAAGCAATTATTTTGAAGAGCTTTTTCCTCCATTCAAAGTATATTTTAAAAACCTCTTATTCTCAGCCAGCCCAATAGCTGCTCAAAAACTTCAAAGCACAATTTCCAGATCTCAGTACAAAAGAGCCACTATGCTAGCTGAAGAAAAATAGTTTGCTAATTTTAAAGTTGTAGTGATTTTAAATTAATTTTCATGCAGTATTTAATTGTTCATAACTCTATATGTGGATTGGAACAATCTGTGAACAAAGCTGCTTGTTCAAAAAACAACTGGGTTTTAATGCTACAGAAAGGAAAGTGTTTATTACACTTTCTGGGCTTTTACTGTAGTCATGATATTTGAATGCATGTAGCTAGAAAGACTTTTGGGGCACAAAACACCTTCTTAGGGAGTGTATGTGTCTGAAAGAGAATTTGGTTGTTATAACTCTGACAGATAGTGCAATGAAAGATAGGCTCTCTTCCTGCAGATGTTATGCTAAACAATTGCATTTATTTATTTTAAAGCAACCCAAGAAGAGGAATTTTATTAGTCTTTTCTAAAACTTGATTCATAATTAGTAATTTCCAGTTTTTCTTTCCTACTGCCACACTGAAAATGAAATTATGTATCCAGCAAAGTTTATGAATCCTAATTTCCCACTGTAATGGAGACTTGCTATGACAGGTATTAGAAGACTCAGTAGTCACACAAAAACCCAGGTATTTTTTTACTGTGTAGAGAGGATTATACCCATTGTTAAAGAAGGTGAAATTATAACATTGGTTTTTTTACACAGCAAACATTTAATGGGCTAGAAAGTTTAAACAGCTTTTTGTCTGTTTATATTTTCTTTGAATAATTAAAAAAAATATATCAAAGCTCTAAAATAAGGAGTGTCTCCATCATATTTACCAGGTTGTGGTGGCTGAAGATGAAGTCCTTTGATTGCCATTTTTAAAAAAATACTTGTTCTCAAACCTAACTCATCCCTATACAATGTTAAATCAGGGAATCATAAGTTTTCTTCTCTGACTGAAATGGTTTTTGCCCTCCTTCTGCTGACTGCAGTACACCTGAAGTTGCCACAGAGCCAAGAATCCCTGCCACCATAGTCTTTTTTTGCTGCTGAACCAAGGTTGGCATAGCAACTTGGGATACTCCTCAAGCAATCTGCCCTAAGGGGTTTAACCCTGTCAACTGGAAGAAGTCTGAGGTCTCCACGGTTTTCTGTCCTACACAGATGAAACTGCAGTTTGAGTAAACAGAAGCCAGAGGAGTGAAATGGGCAATATTTGTTAATTGTGAATCAGAGGTTTTCTTCTGTCAGATCAGATTAGGTTCAGTGCTTAGATGCATGACAACACTCCTGACTGTGTCTGTCATGCATCACAGACTGGGCATCAAAATATATCAGTTACAGTGCAGGGCGCTCAGATAACCTGAATATATGCATCCAAAGGGAGATTAGCAGTATAAACTACAAGGACATTGCCCACAGCCTTAAATATAAACAAATCCATTTTGAGGCAAAGAATGCTAAAAATTCAGAGGGCAAAGTCCATCATCAGATTGAGAGCAAAAACACAGGGCAGTATTAGATAAAAATCACATAAATAAGAGATGCTCTACCATGAAGGTTGGGATGTAGAGGATTAAGAATAAAGAACCACTATGATATAAATAGTATTTCAGATTGTGTAATAGGAAAATATCAGACCAAGGACAGAGTGCTGATAGTTGCTAGTATAGACTAAGAGAAAAGCAAATAGGATAGGATTTGCCTTGTAAAAGGATTAATCGTTCACAGTCTAAATTGTAAAATTAATAAGAGATTAAACAGGCTTATAATTCAATCATAACTCTTCTTATTCTTTTTAAAACATGAAATTATACTAAAGGGTAATTGAGACATACATAAAAGGAAACAAAAAAGCGAAACTTGGGTTCCCTGCTCAGAATTCAAAATATATTGTTGATGAGCCGGTCATGATCTCTAAGCAATCCTTATTATTTGAGAAAAATAACAAATATACAAGAAACCCAACATACTCCATGTAGAAACAATGATATGAGGTTTTCATGCCATACTAGATTATTCAGACAATGATATCATTAGAGGCATCTTTCTGAAAAGGAATTTTGATATTCTTAAGAGCAATAGGCCATCCTAGCTAATAGTCAGATTTTTTACTGTACCATATAACGCAGAAAACAGCATGCTATACATTTCCAGTTGTACAATACTATATCATGGAAATAAATGCCATTTACAGGTTTCCATTTTTAACCTTGAACCATGAAAACTGCTAGGAATTCTACATGTTAGTGCATTTGCCAATCTGATTAGGTATTTTCAAATGTAAATCTTTAATACTTTTTCTCAAAGTTTACTAACCAGCAGGTTTATTAGTAGTTTACTGGGGCAAAATTTTATATGTTGCATGTGTTTCCCTCTTCACATTTTTTTTAATTTCCTCAAAGTCACTTTGTTCTCTCTGGAGCAATGGGAAAAAAGCCCTATGCATCCATAAGTAACAAAATTATTGTGTTATTATCATCATAACCTGCCAAGGTGGTAAATTCTATCATACCACTGCAAATTTCCATGACAGTTTTGTAAGCATGTATCATGGGATACAAAAGGGCATCTGAGAGAAAATGAAACCTGAAAGAAAATCTGCATCTTTTCTTTTTCCTTTCAAAATAATGTCTTTCTCTTTAATTGAAGTTCTTTGCTATTGTTCTTATTTGTTCATATTTTCTCCAACATAAAAATATTATCTTAGATTAGATGATGTTCCATAAGAAAACATTATTATCAGGTATTTGAAAACTGAACATTTTTGTGGGGAAAAAATAAAAACACATCTTAAAATAAAGATGTTGCCCTGCATCTCAAAAGAACACTGGAGCCAAGCTTAGTATACTCAGAATGTTCTGTCCCAGATATAGTGAATGTATTCTTTCTTAATATTAAATTGTTTGGAAACAGAGTTGAGATAAAACATTTAAATCTTACCTTTTATCTTTCAAATTTCACTGAGTCATTCAAGTAGTAATCATGTTTACAGGTATTAGAGTCAGAAGAGATAAAAAATACACTAATAACATGAACTTTTATATCACTTAGAGCCATTATTGAGCATTAAATAATATTATAAACTAATAAAAGCAATCTTTAAATTATTTTCCAGAATTATTTCACCTTTAGAGAAAAATTTAACTCTCAGATTTTCCAAATTGTATTTTAATGAGAAAATAAAGTGGTAACTTTGTATTCTGAAGTTAGAAACATGCAACTTAGAAAGCAATACTTTCTTACCTCTTCCTATTTTTTATTTTTTTTTTAAGAATATAACATAACATATTCTTCCCACACAGGAAAACAAACCTTCCTGCTCCACCCTGAGGAGGAATTTACAACAGCTTCAGGTAAATAAACTTTGTGAACATAGCAAGTTAGATGAAGTTGGAATACCTACAGTCGAAGAAAGCAATATTTTGAAGTAAACAGTGCTACAGACAAGTGTAGAGAGAATGTTGTTATTGTTACAACAATCACAGAAAATAATTATCTTGGTTTCATGAAAATTATGAGCAAGAATCCAAAGAAATATTTTAAAAACTTAAAAATTCTGTGGGATGACCTAATAAGCATATATCAGTCAGTCCAGAATTGTAATCAATCAAAACACTTAAAATTATTTCAAACCATTCATTAACAGGAGATTTGATAAAGAAGATCCTTTTCTATTAAAAATATTTTCACTGAATTTATTACTTTATATTTAAAGAAAAATAGTGTAAATAAAATACATCCCACTATTTTTAAGCTGTTTTTTCTTGGTGCCACACTTAAAAGCTCTTTAAGAGTTGAACTTGGAAGACAGAACAATGACATCAGTACAACTACTTAATTTGTAAGAAAAAACAATCATCATACTGTAGGTTAATATACACTCTTTAATAGTTGTTTTCTTCAATGGGTACTCAGTTAATATCTGCTTAATATCTTTGCAACCATGACTCATTGCAGCAAGAAAAACAATGCCAAAGGCCTAATATCAGAAAAACACCCTTATTCTAAAAAACACTTAAGTTCAAGTTTAAATATATTCATGTTTTAAAAAAGACCTGTCACATTTTAAATTAAGGCTGTCCATAATGAGGAAAAGGGGAATAAACACTGTCCAAAACATGGATAAAATTCAGCTGCCTTGTTACAATGCCCTCAGTCAGCAGGTCAATCCATATATACATCAACCCTCAATGAAGCAATGAACTTGGGTTCTGTCATGACTGTGACCTTCCTAATTTCTTCATGAGATGAAATATAAGGTATTTTATTTCTGCTGTAATTTTTATTCATTTTAAATAGAAATTAAAAATATCCATAAAGATTGCAGAGGTTTGCATGATGGTCAAAGCTTCCTAAATAAAACTGACATTTAGTTCAGGTGGCATTCTAGTACAAGTGAGATCTGAGGTTCTCTGACAGTTTCCTGAGGTGCAGAGCTGGAGCCAGCAGAAAGAGAATAGCTTTCAGCCTCTCAGCATTTTGTGTTCTTTGTCTCCACCTTCTGCTTGGAAAGAATGTGAGTTACAGGGAGTTAAGGCATTGTGATTTCTAATTCGTTTGGAGAAATCTGGGAAAGAAAATAAATAAAAATGGAGGAGAATCTCTCAAATACAAAAGGCAACAATAAAATACTGAACATATCATCAGTAGCAGTTATTTTAAGAAGGCAGGCTAAATAGCTAAATGACACCAGATTGGTGCTTGTTGCAAACTTAGATTCAGTAGTCAAAACCTACATGAACTGATTCCAGATGGAGATATTTTCTGGGGACAAGAACAAATATGGGGTCAAATCACAACTTGGGTTTGATTTATCTTGAGTTAAAGAGTAATTTAAGCAGTAATGGGCAATCATTAAGTCACCCCTTCTATTAGAAAAATTGCAATTGTACTTCTCTACAGTGTTGTTATGGAAAACAGAAGCAGGGCAAATTCTCTGGTTCTAAGGACAAGACAATCAGGGTAAATTAAAAGGTCTATCTGTACTTGTCATATCAGAATGTCAGCTGAGTATGCCACTGAAATTATCTAAAAAGTAGGAATAAATTAAACTTAACTTGAGAAGGAAAGAAAAAAAAAAGTGACAGAAGATACTGATAAGAGTATCTCATAGGTGGTGGATTTCTGTGATTAACAGTTTAATTTACTTCACAATATTTTTTATTTTTTTGTTATGTACCTCTTTCACTTCAACTTCAAGGAGCAAAATATTTCAAATAACTTTATTTTCCCCAAAGACTTCATGGAATAATTAGAGGCTTTTTATTGAAAAATAAAATCGATTAAATTTTTTTTCACTGTAATATTTAAGTCTTTTAGAACTCTGCTGCCCTGGCAGAAACAAAATTAATGTTTCATTAAAATTCTGCTCCCAAAAGAACTTGAACAGATTCCCCACTGACAAAAATCAGCATATGTTCTCATTTTAATAAAAGCCTACTAATTTCTAACAAATAACAAAGCCTACCTGAAAAACAGCCTGTTTTAAAATTCCATCTGCCATTATTTTCTGTCATGGTCCATAAATATTTTATGAACTGTCAAATGGATTTATGTATCATAATGAAAAGGGAAAATCATAATCCACCAAAACCAAGTAAGTTAACGAAAGAAAAACTGAAAACAATATTAAAAAGAGAGTATTCAAAGTTTATCAAAATGCAATGTTATAAATGTATCTAGAAATGTTAAGCACTGCAAACTGATGAGGTATGAGAAGATGTACATTATATAACTTGTAGGAGGTTTAGATACTACTTAATGCAAAAATATATACTTTTTTACAATAACACCTTAAACCTGAAGATGGAGCTCTTGAACTGTTTATTTAAAAAGAACCAGAAAAAGTGAAAGCAATACAGTTACCAAAGGAAGATACTGTAGAATTCCTGGTATGCTATACTGGGAGAAAGTCAGTATTAAATGCTTTTTTCATGTGCATATACATTTCACTTGCATAGCAGCTATTTCACTCTGCAAATCTTCCTGTCCACAGATTAATTCCAACTCTCAAACACTCCTTTCCTCACATTTGAGACAGTCTTTCAAAATTTTTTCAAAAGTTTTTTTTAGATTTCTTACTGGAATTCCTTTGGAATGGTACAGAAAATGAAGTACAAGGGAACTGCTTTAACCACATTTTAAAGTAATTAAATATATTATTCCAGCTCTTCTGTCTGAACCCATCCTTAACAAACAGCATGAAAATCCTTTGTTTCAGTACTCTCTGAAAAAAAAAAAAAAAAAAAAAAAAAAAAAGAATTTTCGAATTAGCTCCCTAATTAAGTATTTTAATCAGTCAAATATGCTAGAAATACATAGGGTCTGATTCCTCATTGGCTTGCACTTTTTACAGGCATTACACATAGTATGAATGACAGTTCCTTTTGCAGAAAAACACAAATGAAGAAAAAGAGTTTACATAGTGATCAGACACATAGAAGTTCGGGGCAATTCACCCCCAAGCCCAGGGTCATTCAAACTTCGCAGTTTTATATGACCATGCCCTCAAAAGGAACATTTGACATGTAAAGTAGCTGTTGTTTGAGGATTCCTTGCTCAACTTTGAAATCAGACTGAGTTAATTCAACAGCTTTGCTACTAATTTATAACATGGAAACAGGCCAAAAGAACCTGAAGTGAGTTAAATTCAAGTGCAAAATGCTAACATCCTGTTCAGTGCATTTAAAATCTACTTGGGCAGTAGTATAGACACTACTTAAACATGGAGAAATTGAGGTCTTGTATTTCTAAGGGGTTCTGCATATTGGAGAAGAGTCTCAACTCAACTCGAGAAGTAGTAGGTGGATTGTTCCCACACAGGAAAACAAACCTTCCTGCCCCACCCTGAGGAGGAAGCTACAACAGCCTCAGGTAAAGAGGGGTCTCTTTCCACTTCATGCCCAAAGGAGGAACCAGGCTATAGTAGACCAAATTAGCATTATTCCTATGCCCATTGAGTTGAAAGGAAATGCCATTCACTCCCTTAAAGTTTGACATCAACTACATCCTACTATTTCATAAAATATTTTTTCTGAATCTTTCAGCCTTAAAACAGCATTAGAGCTGCAAAATCAAGTATCTTCACAATAATTTCTCAGAAAATTAAATTTAGTCTGAACCTTGCACTGGCAGGAAACAATTTACAATGAGCCTTAAATAATTAAACAGTCAGTTTATTAATTAATAAGTGCTCTATTATTATACTATTGTGTTTAATTGCCATTGTTTCAATTCATTTATTTAGAAATTAAAATTCTATAAAGTGGTAGGAAAAGATTTAAGTCACAGTTGAGATAGCTTTTTTAAAGATATTTCTGTACCAAAAGATTGTATAAATAGCAATTCTATTTACCTAAATTATTTTTCTCAATCATGCTAACAATGAAGATTGGTTTTCTAGATCCAAGTATTTTAATGACAGCTGGCATTTCTAAACTGCCTATTCATGGTAAGTGCTGTGCAGAAATATTACCATTTCTATAAGTTGTTGTTTTAAAGTCATACAGGAGAAATAATTTAAGTTTCTAATCGATTTAATTTAAGCATAACCCTTTAGACAAAAAGCCTGCAAGATATAAACTTTATTCTGTTTTGCAAGTGGATCTTTATATTTTCTTTCTGACAACTACACCACATGTGTCTCCTAAGTTCAAAAAGAAACTTATTTATCATATAGCATGCCAAAGTTAAAAATGCAGTATCTGTTCAGTAAGACCAAAACTTCCTTTAGATGGGTCAGAAAACTCAAATGTAATTAAGACACTTCAAAAAACATGCTCCACATTGTCCTCAGAATGTTTAATTATTCAGTTAAATCAGTTAGGGTAAAATATTGTGCCAAAACTGTCAACATTAGTAAGTAAGAAAAAAAACAAACAAACTAACTTACTAACTAACAACAACAACAACAAAAAAAAAAAAAACCAAAAAAAAAAAAACCACCAACATTTGGTGACTGTGTACTAAAATACTGCATACTCCCTTTTTTGTCAGAGAGTAGAACTTTGAATTTCATCTGTGATCACAACCAGACCGTAGAATAAGAAGATCCAACATCTATGTACACTAATTAAATAACCTAGTTTAATACTACCAGAAAGCTGAAGCAATTTACTATGTTCCAATTTCAAAACCTGACTGGGAAGCAGAGACTGTCACCCCCAGCCTGGCATGCAAATTCTTTGGCACATGGGAAGGCGAAACACTCCCCTCTTCAGCCCTCACTGCTCATTTTTGTGCAAGAAAGGAATCAAGTTAGATAATCCTTTAGCTTTCCTGCATCCATCTGCAAATTCATACATGGAAAGGAGGTTCAGTCCCGCTGGGTGAGCATAGGTGGGTGAAGCACTGGCAGGTGTAAAACAACTCCCACAGAGGAAAGCTCCTGTACTATGGGACAGTGTCCTAGGCAGCAACACCAGCTTAGAACTGCCAGGCTGGGAAGAAGGTGTTCCCAAATAACCAGCGACAGGACCAGAAGAAATGGCATCAAGCTGCGCCAAGGGAAGTTTAGACGGGATGACAGGGAAAATGCCTTCACTGAAAGGTCTGTCAGGCGTTGGAGCAGGCTGCGTGTGTTGCTTGCAGGAGGGTGGGCAGGAGGAAGAGGAGGAGGAGGTGAAGGAGCAGGAGGTGGCCCGGGAGGTGGCCCCAGCCCCGCCAGGCACCTCAGGGCAGGCGCATCGTCCTTCCCTCCCTGGAGCTGCCCGGGCGGAGGCGGCCGCGGGGCTTTCCCGGCCGCAGCGCCCAGCTCTGCGCTCCGCCTCTGGCCAAAGCAGGGAAGGGAGGGGAGCAGAGCAGAGGCTTTCACATCCTCAAACCCCGGGGAAACATCTGCTGCTGCTGGCGCCGGGGTGCCGTCCGAAATTGTCCCGCCGCTGGGTTTCGTTAACTTATCCCAGCCCATCCCCGCTCCAGGGGCAGCTCCTCTGAAGCACCCAGGCTTGCGGCAGCGCCGACACTGCGCTCCCTGCAGCTCTTCCTTAAAACAGTAGAAACCAAGGAAGTTCTGTCTGAGGAGCCGAAGAACTAAAGTGCTAAACCAGACACTGTCCTGGGCATGCATAGCTGTGCTGCTCCGCCTTTGTTGCACTACTACAAAAAGACAATTAAAGTGGGCATTTGCATGCTTCTGAGGCATTCGAGTATTTACAATCTGTGCTGCAGTAGAAAAGGGATTTTCTGAAAGAAGGGAAGGAAAAGAGGGGACAGACAAGAGGAATTCTGTGGGGAGTAAATAATGTCTGACGGAAAAATAACATTTCATTGGAAGATTTGGTATATTGTTACTTTTCCAGAGAATGAAAGTGGTTGTTTATGTCCAAGAATCAAGAATGATCCACAGGAATCCTGAAGCAAGGTAAAATACAGACTTAGCAGAGAGGACTAGCCTAGACACAAAACCAATTCATCCATGTGCTTCTTTAGGCATGGATGACTTCACAATGTTGACAGCCGAAATAATTCAGCCTTCCTTTGCAAATGCACTTACCAGGATAAACAGGATAGAATCCCTGTCAATAAAATCCAAGACAGCTTAAGTGGTATTTCATTCTACAAGATGAATGCAACAAAATAAGAATCATCCTTGTGATGTATTCCATCCTGTGCCTTACCTAGATTCCATGTCTTTACCTCTCCTGTCATCTCTTTCTAAAGATTTCCATTGAGAAGGTAAGAAGGTAGGGAGGAAAAATTCAGTCTGCACCACTGAATGGAATTTCTAGTGTGAAACTGATTATATTTTATATGGAAATTACTGAAAGTCAGTAAATATAGACACCAATATGGCATTTTAAAGGCTTGTTACTGTAGAAGTCAAGTTTCGGAAGTTTTTTTTTTCACTCAGATAACTGTAGAGTTATGATAGAGACTGGACACAGGATGTATCAGACAGAGTTCAGTGTTTTCAGTGTGTTGGCTTAGCCTTACAGTGCCCACACTGCATATAAAATATTCTCAGCTGTCACTCACTACAATTTGTTGTGTGTGTCCCCTTGAAGGACTACATTACAATGGTAGGCATGAACTAAGTTTAACACCAGGAGAAATTTCATTAGGAGGTGTTTTCCATCATTACCAAGCAACAGAAAAAAGCTGAGCATGCAATGGCTATGTCCTTCTGTGCCATACTTGATAAAACTCTTTTCAGGAAAGAATTCAGTACTTGAACACTGCCATGCTTTTTTATGCACTGTTTTTTTTCTGCAGAATGGCCTCTGCTTTTATTGTGATTTATTGGCTGGGACTTCAGAATCTTGGAGAAGCAGGATCAAATTGCATCTTTTAAGTTTACTGCACACAAGGAAAATAGAAGAGAATGACTGTTTTCTGATGGATCTGAAAGGCAAGAAAGTGCCTTTGGACTTGCCAGTTGAACCAATTTACAGGGTGATCACCAATGGTATCCAAGTCTGTTGAAGAAGATGTGTATGTCTGTTATGAGGGGTCTTGAGAGCAATCACGGTTTTGCCAGCTTTGAAGAGAGAACAGTAATTATTTCCTTAAATTCTATCTATTGCCCCTCCAGTAGGGGCAAATTAGCTTTTATTTCTACACCAGGATATTGTGCCTTTAATAGATTCCTGCTCAGGTTTTGTGAGTCCAGCAGCAGGTGCTGAACATCAGCTCAGAGTTGGAAGAGCTCTTGAATCCCTGGCAGACTGCAGTAATAGGAAACCTCAGCAGAATTCCCACCACATGTGAGAGAGCCCAGCCTGACCACAGGAGACCTCCTGGAGGACACCAGCCAGGACAGAAGAGGGAAGTCCAGGGTATGACTCAGAGATAAAGTAAACTATTTTTTTAATCATCAGAGAAACTGGTGGAGCTTAACAAATAAATAAAATGAGTTTCTGAACTCCATTCCCCTGGGTCCTAAAGGAACAATCTTGTAAAATTCATTTGTCCTGGATATTTGAACTAAAAACAACAACTTCAGTAGAGTGTTTGTATGACTCATTGTTCCTGCTGTAGCAAAGAGGCACCAGTCAGCAATTTCTAATGAGAATTCTCTTCCTAAAAAAACCCCAAACAACTTCGAAGGTAATTACTGTTTTTTTAAAAATCTATTTATGTAAAATGTGAAGTTATTTACCATAGTTCTAATGAACACCTACTTTAATGCAAACTAAAAAACCCAAATCACTCCAAAGTTAGGAAATCCGCTGGATATTTCTGTGTACTTTAGTATTTCCTGACAAGTTGCAGTGCAGCATATTTAGAGACCTGTTCCACTATCCGGCTGATCAGAGAACAGAAGTTTTTGAAGATTGGCATCACGTATTGGTCAAAGTACCACATTACCCTCTTATATTATATGAGTGTCTTACAGATAAATTTCAGTCTGATTATTTTGTAGTGATTGTAGCACCAAAATGGAAATTCACTCTTTATAACATAAAGTAAAATTGGCTTGATGGTTTCAGAATTTTCTGATAAAAATTGTAGAAAGCAGAAATACCTGTCCAGGATTTATAAAGATAGACATAATTAACAGTAAGCAATATGTTTGAAGTTAATATCAGTGACTTTCATAGAGAAATGCTCATTACAGCTAGAACAAAATTTTATGGTATCTCACTCTACATGCTCATAGATGAGGGGAGACGCTTCTTAGAACATGGTAGCTAAATGTAAATGAACTCCTAGTTCCATGTTGCTATGAAATAGTGCAGTTACTGCACGGTTAAACAGTGCAGTTACTGCACAGTTAACAATACTTTATGCATGTTATTGTCATCAAAAAGTCTCTAACTACCATAAATTCTGGCAGTGGTTTTGGTTCCCGGTTTCTGTCTTCAAACTTTGCATTTTAAATCACTTCTTGCTTACTGCAGCCATATAAAAGAACTGTAAGGAACCCAAGAAACCACAAGGGATAAAAAATAAAATACATAATTTTCCTTTTTCTTTTTTCTTGCCCATACCATGTAATTTTCACTCTTATTTTTCATTTACTGTTTTCTTCATTTACATATGAAAATTAGACCACAGATATCAGTCAGAAAAGTTCAGCTGCTTTTTCTGCAAGCCTCTGGAAAAGTCAAGGGGAAAGAAGATTTGAGATAAGCAATTTTATCTGCCCCATACTTTTTCCAATGCAAAGAAAAGCAGGCAGAGAGAGACATACTCTGGCACATAGAGACACACCTGAAATGAACACAGACAAAAGCTGAAACTGAACGATATCAAGTCAGTAATCTGGGTTACAGTCAAGAAAGTGTTCTGAAATGGGCAGAAGTTCCAGGAAGCTGATAGAAACTGTCTGGTGGCTTTCTGATGTTACTTTCTTCAGGAAAGTTCAGTATTAGGTTAAAATGCTGACCCTGCTGAAGTTGTCAGGAAAAGTCAAACTGAGCTCAGGGATAAACCTTGAAACATATAGTGCAGCATAAATTTCTTAAGGAAGTTGTGTAAGTGTTCTTCCAAACCTAGTATTCATTTACAAGTTTTTCTGTGATGCTGAGGTATTAGCTTCAAATGTGCATATATTGATATAAAAAGTAGATGATTTTTTAGGTACTATTTTTAATGAGACTGCATAAACAAATTCCAGATTTTAGTTTATGATTCAGAGCCCAACTACCAGCCTCCAGGCATCTGATCTAAGTTGCTAAGCTTTCTAGATACCAGTCCCAAGACGTTCCACAGCTAAGTCATTTGGGAAAGTTGTGCTGAAAGAGAGATCAGTCAGGCATTTTGTAAGCAAATTCTACAGTCACTTTCTCCACTGTGTCTGGGATGAACATAAAAAAAAAAGAGAGAGAAGCAGCCTTTGAGACAGATGAGCTATGGTATATAAAATATCTGCAGCGACAGGAGTTCTCTATTGTGAGAAGATGTAGCACTGTGGCTTTGGCAGTCCACAACTTTGAACTTCTCTAGCAGTCTTTTGCATCTACTGAGCAAAGCAAACTCTGAAGCTCTGTAATAGCAATGCAAATGTGAGAAGCTGATTAAAAAGGTTGCTCTAAAACTGAACAATCAGAGAAAGATCGACAGCTGAGGAACTATTCTCCATGTATTCTTAGTCCATACAGGAGAGGTGCTCTGTGCTCGAAGGACCAGGCCTCAAGAGTGTTTGCCTGTGGAGTCCCCTTCTCTCACTCATATGACAACAGAATTTTATAGCCTTTTCTCTGTGGTCTCAAGTTTTCATTGCAGTGATTCGGAGGAGGATGACCTCAGAATTTGACCATACAAGTGTTGTACTGGGGACTGAGTGATGAAGTCCCCTGCCCAGTTTGTAAATATTGTTCTATTTGTAGGCCTTAACACAGAGGTTTTGGGGGCTGCAGAACAAACCAGGTTATCTGACAAATCTGATAAAGAGCAGAGATGATTTCTTACCCCTGCTGGGAGCTAACACATCTGAAGACACAGTTTTCTTCAAAGCTGGGAAATGAGAAATAGGAAATACTATAGAGTTAACTTATAGACTTGATAGTAACCATTTTTTAAAGAAATAAATAGTTTAGTCATGTTGCTACTAGATTTTTTAATTTCTCCAAAAGCCAATATAGTCCAGCATTTCATCCAAGACTGTGGATAGTTAGTAAAGTCATCATCCTTCCTCCAAATATTTTCCAATCATGTGATGATTTGTTGATCAGGGATTCATGACCAGGAGACTGTGTGTGGATTCACAGATTTGTCTTCATGAATATATACATTTGCTTTTTGAGCACATCACTTATATTCCAACTCCCTACTTAGAGCTAATTTGTGAATATGTTAGGCAAAAATGTCCTAGGCCCAAATGGGTTATCTGGAGGTCTCTCTACCAGTGGTCTCTACCCACCTGGACAACTGCTTATTTATGCCTTCCTTCTATCTGTGGTCTTCTAACCAATTATTTACCCATGAGAAGATCTTCTCTTTCTTCTTCTGTATCTTTAAGAAGCTCAGTTAGAGAATTTTGTGCAGAACTTCCTGAAATAGTTGTGTTCACATTATATTAATTTCCTTACGGCCCTGGTATAGAAAGAGTTCCTTTCCCAGTGATTCCTCTGCTGAAGCAGTAAGCATTTTCTCCACAGTAATCATTACTCTGGAGAAGTAATCATCACATTGACTGAGAGGTTTCTCAAGGTAGGATTCCAGCCTCTTTCCCATTTCAGATATTGATAGAAAATTACTTTAGGCAGTATTTAGGTACTTAGTAAGTTAAAAGTTTTGACTGCCTGTAGAAAAAGAAGGAAGAAAGTTTAATCAGAAGAAAAAAATGTAAAGTGAAAAGAGATGTGCAACTTGAAAAACAACAAATGAACTATTTACGGACATTCAGACCTTGACAAATTAGATGTCTGAACAATGACCAGCAAATGAAGTTCAACAAGGGGAAGTGATGGACTTCATACAGCACTCTGGCTGTATGAACAGACTGGGAATGAGAAGCTGGAAAGCAGTGCCGTGGAAAGGAACATGGGGGTCTTGTTTGATGGCAAGTTGACCATGAGCCAACAGTGCCCTGGCAGCCAGGAGAGTCAGGAGTGTCCGGGGGGGCATCAGGCACAGCATCACCAGCCAGGCAAGGGAGGGGATTGTCCTGCTCTGCTCTGCTCAGAGGTGACCTCCCCTTAAGTGCTGGGGGCAGTTTTGGGAGCAACAGTATAAAAAAATATATTAAAAAGATATTAGACTATTAGAGAGTGTCCAAAGGAGGACAACAAAGATGGTGAAGAGTCTAGAGGGGAATCTGTATGAGGAGCAGCTGAGCTCACTTGGTCTGTTCAGCCTGGAGGAGACTGAAGGGAGATCTCATTGCAGTTACAACTTCTTCATGAGGGGAAGACAAGGTGCAGACATTGATCTCTTCTCTGGTGACCTGTGACAGGACCTGAGGGAATGGCCTGGAGGTGTGTCAGGGGAGGTTTAGGTTGTATATTAGACAAAGGCTCTTCACACAGAGGGTGACTGGGCACTAGAACAGGCTCCCCAGGGAAGTTGTCACAGCACTAAGCCCAAGAGAGTTCAAGAAGTATTTGGACAACGTTCTCAGGCGTATGGTGTGACTCTTGAGTATGGTCCTGTACAGGGCCAGAAATTGGACTCGATGATCTTTGAGGATCCTTCCAAGTCAGATTATTTTGTGATTCTGTGAAAAATGACCTACAGCATACTCAAAAATATCTGTGCTAATACATACCCATAAAACAATGAAATGTGTAATAGCTTACTGCCTAATAAGCTAATAGATCATCTGGAAATAATGTAAAAAAGTTGAAATAATCTCTTTAAGGCTGATTGCCATTGAATAATACAACTGTGGTTTCCCTAAGGGTTAGATTATTTATTATGCCTACAGTTATGTATTTCACTTTGCATTTGTTTTTCCTTGCCCAATAGCAGAATGATTTCATTGTTAATTCAACAACTCTAGGGGTTTTTTTCTGTTGCTTATTTTCCCATGCATGTCCTCTCCAATATAAACTGGTGGGGTTTATGCTTAGTTACAAGTAGTTTTCAGGAAGTTATTTGTAGCCTTTTCTTTCAAAAGACTAAAAGAGAAACAAGAAATAATGTAATACGTTATCTTTATCTTCCGTATATAAAGAGAAATAGAATAATTAACCAAAGAATTAAGTGAAGGAATCTGGAAGAGTTATTTGAAGATCTTTTATTTGTCATTATCTGTTGCTAGGCCCACTAGAGTTAGTACTCCTAACTTTAAAATATAAGGGGTCAAAAACAATGCACAGTGCTTACAAGTCAAATACTAACAGTGAGCTATCGTTTCTTTTTAAAACAGTTTCTGCTTTTGTTTTACTTCATTTTTTTATCTTCTTTTTGCTACTAAAGAAGCAAAAATGCTTCTGCTACCTTTAGGTAAAATGTAATATTCTGCTACCTTTAGGTAGCAGAACATATAAGACCACAAAAAATATCCTAGCAATCAGAATTTCTGCTGTTCGATGGTATTTAGCATAGGATTAATCTCATGAACATTAGTTATCTAGAAGCTTGTATCCAGTCTGTGCCTTTCACTCCACTTTTCCTGTAGACAGTGAAGACAAACTGTAGTAGATGCTGTACATCTGTCTTCAGCACCTGTCAGGGGCATGATGTGCCTGGTGTCCAGTCTCTGCTAATGTCTCCTCTCACTTAACTAATTATTCAAGTTCAGACAAAATAAATCCCTTCACCACTGTAAGCTTATTGGAGGAGAAGCTACCTCTTTCACTTAATTAGTAAGACCATTTAAAAGAAGATAATCCTGTGAAACCATGCAGTAACTACTTTTTCTCCAGCAAGCAGCATATAATCCCCAGTTTTTCATTTCCCATTAAAAAAGAAAGAAGTCTATGCTTTTGTTCCTTTCTACATCTACATCACGTAGTCCTTATTATTTATCTACCAGTGTAATTCATTAATGATTATATGGGAACTTTTCCTCTACTATTTTTAAAACTTTTTGATCTAGAGCTTACAAAGGAGCTCCTTGGGATAATATATTTTCTTCCAAAATACAGCCTCCAAAATCAACAGGGGAGATGTTGGATGATCCTTTCCTAGTACTTCACAAAAAGAAGATACAATCCCAAACCTAAGATAAGCCAAGTAAGTGAACAATTTCTTTCTAACTGTTTTTAGGTTTGCTAATGAAAGGAAGCCTAAATTTGGTATAGTTCATACACATAAACCCACAAAAATATTTTTGAGTAAAAATAGTCTCAAGTGCACATTAAAGGTCACTGCCACATGCCAGTAACTGCCTCATATTATTTCACATTTCAAATTTTTTCCCTAGCCTTCCCTGTAAATTGATACAGAAGACATGCAACATACATGCAGAATGTCAGAACAGAGTACAAGAATATTGATGAAAAATTGGTTGATAAGAATGAAGCTCTACCTTAACAAACCTCACATTGTTAATTTACAAATTTTAGTTACTTATGAATTTTAACAGTAACAATTCTTACCTTTAATAAATTAAAATTCAGTCTTGCAATTGGTTCTGATTGCTGCCTGAAAAATCTATTAAGTCAGATTAATTAGCTAAGCATGTAATTATGATTTTAGGTTGTTGGAGGCTTCTGGAACAGGTTTCAAACAAGATCTTTTACCTCTCCACAGAGATCTGGTGATTTGTAAATTTCAGGTTTTGTGAATACTGCAGTTGTCTGAACAGTCCTTTTACAAAGTCTGTGGGCAGTTAATTATCTCAGAAGACTAAATTCAGCAGCATTCTATAACTAGAAAAGTTCATATATTCAGCTAATAACTATATAAAAATATTTTCTGCATGTTTCTCCTGTGAGAGAGTTAAATATAAAAAGAAGAACAGAAGAAACATGTAAAGGGAATGATTGTCATGATTTCATACATCTGATGTTTGCATTAAGACGTGACATCTGTGAAAACACCATGGTAATCATACCCACGCACAAACTCGATGGGGTTTTTGCTGTCTGTCCAGAACAATCACTTCTGCATTGGCATCTTTTATTTACTCTGTATTTCACCTATTCAAATCTATCTTAGTGAAGCATTTCAGATGAGTCCAGAAAAAGGTCACAGAAGTCTTAAAAGGGGTCAAATAAGAGCTAAGTTGAGACAAAGAAAGAAAGTTGTTCAAAGTATGATAGAAAAATAAGAATATGTCTCCCTTCCAACTATGAGCCAGAAGGTTTGCTCAGGCAAACTCAATGGATAGATGAGTTACTGGGCAGAGTCAGGCATGCAGTGGGGGAGACAGGTACCTCAACTGGGTGGAAGAAAAGCATAGATAGATAGAGAGAGAGAGAGAGAGAGATAGATAATGCTATCATGGTTTCTTGAATGATGCTCTTTCAAAGCAATATAGGTGTGGACAGTGAGAGTTGCTTGCAGGGACAGACCAAGAGAGAAATTCAGACCTGATGCTAAATTTTCCTGTGTTCTCAAGAACTCAATGAAATAAGTGTTGTTTGAAGGGAAGCAGTTAAATTTTAAAGAAAACTTGCTTGTACTGTCTTGTGAAATTTACTGGAGTCCTATTATCAGAAAAGGTTAAAAGATAATATTCTGCCTGGTGAGCTGGTTCATTTAGCATGTATGCCAAACTAATAATTCGCCACAGTCTTTTACCAAATTCAAATGGGCACTGCATTATTCCAAGAGCAAAACATTGACTTGTCACTACCTGTCTTTTGGGACCTCATAAATATTCTATCAGAATATTCTGTCTGGTGAAAAAAAATAATTTGTCCATTTTTTATTTAAAAGTGCAAACCACAGCTCTCAAACCTGTCAAATCCCTTTGTATATATAAGTACAGTGTCCCTGGGTTATTTAAACTTTTTTCATTTTTGATTAAGCCCAAGGAGTCTCTCTCTCATTTTCTGAAACAAGAATTGTAGCTGGACTTTGTTATTTAATCTTAAAGCATTTTCTGATGCCAGAGGATAGTGTATGCTGAGTCTCCTTTGCTTGTGGGTATCTCCAAATTTTTACCTGTAAACTAGAACTCAGAATCTGTTATGTCCACTTTCTAAGAGTATCCCAGTCTGATCATAAGAATAGCCAAAAGGATGAGAGATGAAACATTTTTATCTTATTTCCATTTTTCCCCAAGCCTCTCTGAACATATGTATTAGAGATGTCATTTGTTATGTGCTGCAAGTTCAGCAGATGATTGCTTTCATCTTGGGATATGCCAAGCACACAGGGCCGTTCATGTCTGTGTTTTTTTCTTTTGGAACATTTTAATAAATAACTAGAGTTTTGGAGCATGCAGTGTATAGTTCAGCTGCCTCCACCAGCTGTCTTATGAATAATGTACATATCTTTGATTTACTTTTCATCTGCCGTGTTGGTGCAATAAATTTTGAAGACAGTGCTGGTGTAGACTTAGTCCAACTTAATCATGTTCAGACTTCCAAACTTCATTGCACAAGCACTGCACACTATGTTTCACTTCTTAGCATGATTTTGACACTGCCTCTTGCATTCTTGTTACTTAGGAAAAAGGGAAAAAGTTTAAAATCTGATCTTGGGTGAAAAGAATGGAAACATGTTTGTTTTCAAACTATACCATACCTTCATACTTCAAATATTTCCCGTTCTTTCTTATGAATGGTCTGTTGCATGCTTGATGAGCAATACGATTTGACTATTGCCATGTCAAAAGTGTGTGATTGTTAACTTTAGTCACTAGATGGCCTTTGAGTGTGCAAAAGCTCCCTGAATGATATTGGAAAACTATACTTTTAGCTAGATCATTCATTTTGAAGATTTTAAGCTATTCCTAAACCTGTCTTTAGTAGCTTGAGCTGCTATTAAGTGCTTATTTGCAAATTTTGGAGAAAGAAAAATTGTAAAAGCAATAACTTAATGATAAGAATTAAAATAATAAAACAAAAGATGAACCAAACTGTTTTTTTTAATTTAAACAGAATTTCTCTTTGCATCAGCCTTTCCATTACATCAGCATGTGTGTCCTTGAAATGGTCTTCCCCAGTTCACATTAGTGAGAAAAGTACAGAAAAGATACTTCCCTGGGTAAAGAAGAGAGTCAGAAGCTGTAGAAGTATTGCCCTCCCTGTTCTGAAGAAAAGACTTGATGTTGGGTGTAACTCATGGTCAGATCATGCACTAGACACTCCTGGTTGTTGGGAGCTGCCTCGTGTGTAGCTGGAATTTTTGAGCTACAACTTAGATATGTTCATTTATGTTTCTTACATCTGTTTTGGGGTGAATATATATCCTTTTGCAGTGCATCAGATGCTGTTACCTGTGTGGAGAGCAGCACATCATTCTTCACCCAGCAGCAGGTTCACAGTTAAAGTGAGGTGCTAATCATTGTAAGGTCATCACATTTGATCCATATTACTGCAAACAAGCCTATTAATCCCAAGCTTTTATGACATAATGCACTGTTCTGGTTATTTTATCTCACCTTCTGCACAAGTCATCTGGTTTCTCAGAGCCTGCATCTAACTTTTCTGCTTTGAATTATGACAAAAAGAGTTTAAAATGGTTATTGAGAAATGAATGTGCTATCAAAATACACCATATACAGAATACAATGTAGCACTAAACAGAGATGTCTGGGTTGCAGTGAAGTTATAGAGTTGTTAACCCTTGGTTCTGCTAGGTTGTACTGCTGTTATGGTGGAACTTTGAGGAAGAGAAGCAGATGTGTGCACTCTGCTTCAGGCAGACATCCTTTCTAGGACTATTTGCATCACATGGTATCATGGAAGATTTGTAAGTCTGAGCAAGAGATTCTGTTTTGCCTTCTCTGAAATGCTGCATCTCATTTTTCTGTTTTTTAGTGAGTGAGGCTATGGATTTCATTGATTTCTGGCAACAGGGAGACCAAGATCTCTGAGATTTGAAAGATTCTGACATCTCAAAGCTCAAATACGCTAGTTGTGAAAAACTCAATCCCATCTGTAAAATGTTATTAATTTTTTCACATTTATTGTCCATCCATGACTGTCAGACATCAAGATTGCTATGATTTTGAGCAGAAGAAAGCAGGAAGTCAGAGGGAATAAAACTTTGCCTATAATTTGTTTTTCTCATTTTGTGTGTTCACTGGTAGTTTTGGAAAGTTGTGTAAAGGCTGTTAAACTCAACCAAAATCCTTGAAAAGTCAGATATATACTTTGGATTGAGAAGCCTAAATATGATTTGTAAGTATAAAGCTCTCTTAGTAAATAGTCACTTTCACTCTCACAGAGTAGCAGCAGCACTTCTTGCTTGCAGCACTTGTGCAACAGCATCAGTGCCTGGGCATTACTCCAGAGTAAGACACTGTTCTTACCCAAACCATTTAAGAAAGTGGTTGCCATTCAAATTATTAGCAAAGCTGAAAGTAACTAAGAGTCATCTGTCATGTAGCTGCAGAGACAAACAGGAAGAGTGGTGAACCTGGGCATGTTTTTTATGTTAGCCTTGCACCCACCCTCTCTTCCTTTTGGCAGAACAGGAAACCATCTTCTGTTTTTCTTCTTTTTTCTTAAGGAATTAGAAGAAAGATAAAAGTCATTACCTGTAGTTGAGCCTAAAAGCCCCTAATACAAGATCAGCGCCGTGAAGAGCTGCTGTGCATATATCCAACACTCTAGATAATATTCCGAAGTCCTTACCATGCAACTTGGAAGTCTTGCAGATGTAAATCCAGATGCCAAGTGATAAAGTCATTCACCAAATTCCTATTGGGAATCTATAGCACAGTTAGGAATGAAACTTCACATATCCTGAGCCCAAGCCTATGCTATTTCTTTAGCTGAACTCTCATATTTAGGCTTTTAAAATAGCTCAAACTTGGTTTCATATAATATTAATTAGGACAAAGTGATGGTCATACTTCTTAAAACTTAGGCTGAAATAAAAATGAAAGTTTAGGAATCACAATCGTGTTATCCAGCTTTTCTCAGTGGTTCGGATATGGAATAACTGTGGGAGCTTTCATCATATTTAAAAAGCCATGTCATAAACATTGTGATTCATCTTGAAGTGGTAGATTTATGAATATGAACTTATTAATAACTGTGTGTGTAATCTGGTGGCAGTCTAGAATGATAGTGAAAATTGCCCAGAGACAGCTATGGATGTGCTGTTTGGGTCAGACTCTTCATCTTTGCATGTAACCAAAAATCCTAGATCATAATTCAGCTTTTCTTCTCTTCCAAGCTTTCATTAAAACCTGTCTTTGGGGAAAATCACTAATGGCATAGTCTCTTGAGGTCATTCCAGCCCTGGAATGTAGCATAATTCTTAATATCCATGGTTTGTATATGCACTCCTGAATTTGCTTTAGAATGAACTTGTTGCTCTTTTTCATCCCCAGATATGCTGCAATGTATGCCTAAAGACTGGAATCTTCTATAATTTCTTTGCTAAGGGTAGCATGTTTTTTTTAAAAAGTGACAGTCAAAAAATTAGGCAGCTGTTGTGGAAGAGGATTCTGAAAATCTCTCTCTGATGCAGACCTCTTTCACCCAGAGAACTCATAAAATTTTTTATAAAACTTATAATTCCGTTGTACAGCTCGGTGCTTCACTGAGAGGGCTACATTGTCAGAACACATGTGGTGTAGGCTTAAAACTTATCTTTTTATCCCACTAATGAACAAGGTTCCAAGTTGAATGCATTGATACTTTTTTGTATTTTCAATGTATGTTGCTTGTGTGATTTTTTAGGTATACTGGATAACAGTTGCCTCGTGGCTCAAGTGACTTTTGTGGTATTTTGAAATGCACCATTTTTTTGGTGCATGTTTTCTTTTTCTTCATTTTTTCCCCTACCTTCTCTACTTGTCTGTCAACTGTAAACTCTCTTTTATTTGCATTCTTGTTTTTGCAAACCCCTTAAGTGTAAATTCCATTGGAATCAGTGAGTTAAAGGTATCTGCTTAACAAGATTTCCTGAACAGGGATAGGATTGAAAATCTGTTCACATATTTTGTAGAACTGAGACCTCTAGGATTTCTTTTACAAGACTTTAAACTCTGAATTGATTGTGTCTGTTTTCCTTGGTTATTTTTGCTTTGTTTCTTAGTAGTTTGATTGTTAATAGTTTCCTTATAATATTCATTTATTTGTGGAAGATGAATACAACATTTGGCCACATATGTCACATAAATACCCATATATTGGTTAAATAAGCAAGTGAGTGCTAAATGAGTATATTTTGTGCAGCTAGCCAGGCTTTCAAAAATAGCTCAGCAACCACACATGAAAACCAGAATTCTGAAACAGCTCACATTCTGGGTGCACGTTGATCACTAAGCTCCTGTGAAAATCTGGCCACAAACACCACAATCTGATCTCCCGTGTCTAACTGCTGCTCCAACCCACATATGTACCAAGGACAAGGAGGACAGTCCAAATACTGGAAAAACATTGTGTTTTCAGAGGAAATTGTGCAGCAGAGCTACAGTGACTTCCAGGAAGGCTCAGACAGATAAATTCTCTGAGCACTTTTGAGAGGAGCCATGTTATTAAAAAGTGAAAATAAATAATGACCCAAATAATTGTTTCTTGTTATTAACAACTACTTTGAAATACTGTCTTTCTTATTTAGAAGTGCATTTTGAGCTCAACAATTTTGAAAACTGTAGAAAAACTGCTTTTATTGGATCGTATGGGTTTCCAACATAATCATCTGCTGTTCTTTTCTTCTTAAAAATATTTATATGCATATTTTATTTTGTATAACTCTACTTCACTCCTAGCCACCAGCTTTTTTCCTCTGTTGACTTCTTCCCTGATTAGCTACTGAAACAAGGTTATGCTCTATGTGGTATTTTAGATTCTGCAGGTGTTTTAAGGGTCAATGGAAAAAAGCCTCCCACGCTTTGGTGATGGGGATTTCCTCTGTAGCATTCAGGGGTTGGGCTCTGGTCTGACAGGCACAAATAACTCTTCTCCCTGGTGTTGCTGGTGCTCCCCTACACCTTCAGCGAGCTGATAGAACTTAATGTAGTAACAGTGTAGCACATTTAGTACATTCCAGCATATGGAGCAACAGTTCCCATTAATCCAGGTTTATTTCCTATATCTTACTTGTGCTTTTCTCTTTAGCATATCTTTGGTGTTATAACACAACAACTTCATGATTTACTGCAGTGCCTATTGGAATCTGCCCCTTGACATTTGACAAAAGCAGTTAGGACAGTGATTGTGTTTTCTTGTTCACAGTAAAAGCCTCTGCCTCCTCAATCAAGTAAGAAATGTGGCAGACATCAGCTTTTCAAAACTTTCTACTCATTCCTCAGCACTCCTAATCCACAGTAGAGGGCAGTGCTTACACAAGGCATGTGCATTCTCACCAAGTGTTAGTTGCATAGTAGCGCTTTTGAAACATCAACTAATGCATTGCCAGAACACTGGTAAAACAGGTTACAATTCTGGTTTTTGACAGGTACAGACTGACAAGGCTGAAGTGACCTGTCCAGCGCCAGAGGTGTTGTGTGTGTGAGGAAGACAATAGGATCTTGATTGAAATGGCAAACATGCAATTGCTAGGAAGACAAAGTCCTAAGTGTTTCAAGTCCTGCCGTTCTTGCACAAAGATATTCTCTGAAATTACCCTTTATTCATGGTTTCTCAAGTACATTGAGCAAAATGTCACTATCACACCAGGATATCTGTAGTGACTTCTCATATTTCTTCATTTTCCAACTGTCTATGTGCATGCATCCCTTGGAAATTCAAGTTATCAGAAACCTCACAGGCCACAATTAGCTGGGAACAGGACCCTCTGCTGTCTTGCACCTAGCTTGCACAGTCATTTCCAAGGGCTGTTGTACAGCTTTCTCACAGAGATTCTTTCTTCAGAAGCTGACAGCCTGTTTAGTGGTTCACCAGTTTGACTCATTCAGCATGTTGTGGAGGCAACTCTGTGTTGAAATATCCTACTTTGGCATTTTCCCAATAAGATGTTACTGCTGTCTTGAAATGCTTTATTGTGTCTGAAAAATATTACCCCTTACTACAAAGGAGGACTAAAAATTCTGAAAACAGAAAAAAATTGTTTGAAATTGTACAAGCAAAGCCTTCCAGTTCAACATGATTCAAAATATTTGGGGAAGTTGCCATTTGATGCTTTTTATCTTTTCAGGAACCCTAAACCCATTTTTAATGGGTGTTCCCTATCCTGCTTTGATGGCTGAGGGAGATGGGTGTGAAATTAAATGCAGAATGCCGTCGTGCTGCATTAAAGCACTTTGTTTTGTCTTCACAAGCAATCTTAGCTATATTCTTTCACAACACGAGGGAGTGTATGACTTTCCTGACACAGGATCATGCCTGAGACATTTTTACCACAGGTTGTTCTGTTTGGCAAATAGGATCACAGAGGCAAAAAGGGTGTAGAAGGGTACATATGTGTTACATTTGGAAGAGAAATAGAGGTGGACACCAGTTGTGAGCTTTATATACTGTGAGTGAGATCTGAGAGGCCTATTTTGTTATAGCAATAACCAAAAGAGGCATAATGACTTCATATTGTGATTTAGTTATATTGCATTTATACAGGAGTGTTTAAAAGAAAGAGTAAAATTTTAGGAACTCTTGCTTGTAAGTGTTAAGGTAAGAATCTACCAGGTATCTCACTAGATGGAATTTTTACACAAAGAGCTTGGATACCACCATTGCTCAAGCTGTAGTGATAGATTCAAGGTTTTCAAGAATTACAGATTATTTAGAGGAAATTTAGATTTTATTCCCATACAAACAGGTAATGCGGAATTTACATGGCAAACCTGGGCATGCAATACCCTGGAGGCACTCTAGACCATCACTTCCATCTGCTGTTTCTGAACAATATGTATCCCCTGTGAGTCCTGTGTTAGAGGGAATTATCTCGGATACCTTAAGGCGTCTCAAATACCAGTATGGAGGGTCTGCTAAATTAAGTCCACACTGATCTTCCTGATCATTGCCAGGAAATAAAAATCTACAAAGACATCCCAAGATGGTAAAGCTCCACCTCAAATGCACTGTCCAATTCTGGGCCTCTCACTAAAAGAGGACATTGAGGTGCTGGAGCATGTCCAGAAAAGGGCAGTGGAGCTGGTGAAGGGTCTGGAGCACCAAGTCTTATGAGGAGCAGCTGAGGTAGCTGGGGTTGTTTAACCTAGAGAAAAGGAGACTCAGGGGGAGCCCTATCCCTCTTTACAGCTACCCAAAAGCCAGGTGGGGGTCAGTATCTTCTCTCAGGTAACAAGCAATAGGACAAGAAAATATGGCTGCCCAGGGAAGTGAAGGAGTCACCAATCCCTGAAGATATTTGAAGGACATGTAGATGTGGCACTTGTGGACATGGTTTAGGGTAGACTTGGCAGTCTTGGGTTAACAGTGAACTCAATGATCTTAGAGGTCCTTTCCAAACCTAGTGATTCTACAATTCTATGGACATAAAAAGCAGAGGCACACCAATGCAGAGGCAGTCAGAATCATTACAATTCACTTGAAAAATCTTAGTGCCTGCACAGATTCAGCTGTCAACACTATATATTTGTTACTGTTGGGACCAAGAGCTGCTAGGATGATAACAAGGAAGTGTATGAACAAGAAAGATGTCATGGTTACAGAAAGAAAGCTTGATGACGGCAGCATAACCACAGAGGAGTTTTGTGTGTTGCCCAGTGGTAGGCTGGCACTTAGTTGTTTTCTTCAGCAGCAACAATGGGTTAGCAGCTCATCAGAGAAAGCACACAAGAGCTAGACAGCATGATCCAAAAAAGCAAGAGCACAAAAACACAAAGGGGTACTTTTTAAACCTCAGTTTCTTCTGCTTTATCACCTACATAACCGCAGCACAGTTTTGCATCTTCTCTGCAGGTTCCCAGGAGAGCAGCTGCTCTACTGTAGTGTAATCTTGCTTACTTTCCTGGTACCCTTTAGCTTCTCTCTATTCAGCTCTCTTCTTTTACAGAGCCACATTCATTCCACATATTATGAACGTACCTACTTCTGTCAGCTGTTTCTAACAGACAGTCTAGAACAAGTCTTCATCTTGGGTCATTTCTCAGATTGACTTTTGGGTCATGTTTGATCATTTATGATGCTTTTATCTTTTCTTCTACTTTTGCAAGTTTCAAAGGAGAAAGATTTTATCAATCACATTCCTCACAGTTATATAGTTATAATTATATTATTATAATTATAATAATATGACTGTATAATAATACAGTTGATATACTAATATATAAATATCAATATATAAAATATAAAAACCTGCTTATATTAATATTAAAAATAGATAGTTAATATTATACTATATAAAATTATGATTAGTACAGTATAATTATTATGTGATTTAAACTTCAAATAGGCTTATAAAATGCTGGAAGCTATTATACGACTTCTTGTTGTCATCTACTTCATTTTGTGACCCCTGTACACTTCCAAGGAAATCACTGGAATTTCATGACATGTGGCAGACATATCTTGCTACATGGGCCATTACCAGGGTAATAAAACTGGGTTCACAGTTTGACTGATTCCTTCAGAGTGGTATCAGATGTATTTTCAGTTTTGGATGAACTCATGTACTTACAGTCACAACATCCCAATATCCATTGTGTCCCTTGGTGGGATCCCGATATACAGAGAGAATTTTCTACTGAGTCACCTAATGTAACCTAACAGTTGTCTGCTTTGACATGAAAAAGCAAATTTGAATGCAACCCATTTTGGCCAATTCTGAAAACATGTTCTACTGTTGTAAAGAATTTTCAAGCCACTTGTTGCCCCTGCACAGCTGCTCTCAAGACAGAGAGCAAATTTGTTCCTTGCCCAGCCAACTACTTAGTGATTCCCTACAGGCAGCAGCTTCCCAAGTGCTACAAAACCTCTGCACTGATGCTACAAAGCCATTTTCTCTGGAGAGTCATAGCCTGGAGCATGGCACAGGGAATGTAGCAGTGTATGAAGGTATGGGTTAGCGCAAGGTTACTCCAAACTGAGACAGAGAATTAGGTGGTCCTTCTGCTAACTATGGGTGCAAGGACTACAACATATACCACCAATGCTCCCATGCCAAATACAGAGTCCTGTGTTATAACTCTGGTAGGTAGATACAGTTTTTTGTCACTACATCTGCTATTCTGATGAGGAATTTCAGAGCCAAGTTTCCCACTACAAAACTCAGAGATACGAAGTCTGATAAATTGTATCTCTCATATATGTCCATTTGTTCATCCCATACTGAACTTGGTTGTAGAGAAGGAACTCATCAGCTGCATGATACTAGTAATACATGCATGATACTAGTAACTTGATGCACTTAATAATAAAGAAATTTTTTCTTTTTACACAGAGCTCAGGGAAAATGAAGAATACTTGAGAAATTATTTGAAAGGAAGCACTGCTATTAGTTATATGGTGTGAAGTGAGGTGTATAATCCCAAATATTTAGTTGATTCAGAAGAAAAAACAGCTTGTTGTATGGGCAATCTGGATGTATATGCATACTTCATGTATGTCCTATGTTTAACTGTATAATCCAACAGTGTTCTCCTTTGAGATGTCAATAGAGAACAATATCGATGATGTTCTCTGAAAAACTGAGTTGCAAAAAAAGGTGCTATATTGAGGTTTTCTATTGTTTTATTTCTAATACTCATTGATTATCTGAAATCATATTATTACCTATTTTTCTTTAATTTTCTCCATCTCTACTTCATCTTGCAACAACTGTTATCAAAAATTTCTTTGTGCTGCTTCAGATAAGTAGAGGGCTTTTTTTTTATTCCATATTTTTAAGGAACTCTGCTTTTAATTTTCACATTAAAACAGCATCAGAATTAACAAAATACTTTCGTTTTCCAAGATGTGGTGCATACTGTCTCAGTTCAGTGGTTCACTCACACTAGGATTTAAGGTGGTGTCTAAGCAGCGTTGTTAATACTCCCTCTTAATAAATTCTTAGGGAAATTTAGAGAACCTTTGAATAATTTGGGAAATCATTTATGTTTTAACCCATGAGAAATCACACCTGTTGGCGTAAAGTCTGTTATGTAAATTCTATATTTGAAGCTGGAAACTAAATATGAGCTAAATTTCTATCACAATTTTAAAGATTATTTCCTTACTTTTTGTACTCTATGCAAACTCTGTAATTTCTTTTCTTCTTTGTGATTAAATGTTGCTTCTAATCATGAAGCATACAGATACTAAACATAAACAGACTGAAGAAAAAAAAAATTGTCTTAAGAACTCACCTTTACAATGTCTAACCAGAGATTTTGGCCCAGATCATCAGCTAGATGACCATAAAATTGTTTCCCTGACCCTAAAGAAGCTATGGCAGTTTATACATTCTAAGCACTTCTCATTTTATTATTGAGAGATTTTATAATCCATCTCTGATAAGCCCTATCCATTCTAGAACATAACTATAAGTTATATTTCAAGCCTATAGTCATTTAATTTCTCCATCCCCATCCCCCTTTTAACTGTTTCCTTTAGCACTCCAGATATTCCTGGATACACTGGCAAGGTTCATTGGTCAGCAACTCACCCAGCAAATTCTAATCTTCCATCAACATCCCCATCAGTAATTGCAGGAATGCATGGGTAGGTATGAGGCATATTTCTCAGCTTGTTCAGAAAAATTACAAGGAAAATCATAATTGCATTTATTTAGTTAAAGAACAATTTAATGTTACACATTATATTCTATTGGCTTACAAAATACAGAAGAGTTGGGGTTGGATCCCACCACATTATTTTAATGCTGAAAATCTGAAGTCCTTTTGAGGTTTTAGAATTTTTCTGGAAAATTGTATTGTGTTGGGAAGGTGACTTTTTTTAACAAATGTTTTTGGTTTTTTTCAAAGAGGCCTGTGTATGTCAAAGTTATCAATTCCCAAAAGAAAACCATGTGGAGTTTCTCAACGGGTCTCAGCAGACTTAAGAAACAGATATTTGCTATGAAAAATGGTTGTTAAAAATTGATGGGTTCAATTAAAAGACAATGAGAAGCAAAGTCATACCAGGCCACCACACAGATGTAACCTAGGACTCTGTGATTTTGAAGTCATTACAGCTCGCTATCACTATCATGGCTGCATCATGAAGTGAATTAATAATCTTTCTTATTTTTCCATACAAGGCTGCTTAAAACTGGGAGCAATACAAGTATTAAATGTCTAACTTGTTGATTTCAAAAGATCTGGGCACTTCAAAATTGCTGAAAAATCCTTTTCCTTTTGTTAGCATGAAGAGCTTCTGATGCTGGCAAATAACTAACTAACCTTTCTCCCTAATAGCTTAGTAACTATTTATTTCTCCTCTCTCCTTTATGTTTCTGTGCTTTCGATTCTGTTTTCTTGTTATCTATGCTGATCTAGGATATGGGGACACTCTTCCAAGTTTCCATGTTTTCCTGAAAAATTCATCTTCTAATTAAACTTTTAATTTGTCTTAAGACTCTGTTCACAGCACATCACACTTTTTTTCAGCACTGTCAGTGAAAAGTATCCAGCAAAGGCTTGGGGAGATTTACAAAGCTGCATGGCTTTTAAAGAGTCCACATTGTCAAGAGTTTCACCATTTTGATGAATGTCCTGACTTACTTTTCTGCTGCCCTCCATCCAGCCACCTCTGTTCTTTTTCTCTTGTGGTTATACTTGGAAAATAGGCAGTCACCTGCAGTTATGGGCTGTTGTTGACAGGGAATGGAAAGATGCAACAAAGTCCTGAGTCTCCATAATCTGATAAAGCTGAACACAAAGCAGCCTCATGCAACTCTAAATTGCTTTTAAATGTCACAGACAAATAAAAAAGATAAGTGCATCTTAGCAAAGATCACTGAAAGTCTTCATTTGGGTACCAGAATTCAAGAGCAAAAATGACAGGCACCACTGTGATCTGAAGAAAAAACATCAGTTACTTCCTTTTACTTTACACAGATGTTACTGTGGGTGTAGTTCACAGTGGAGGAATTTTCTTCATTTTTAATGTACAGCAAGAACAGGGTTCTCATTCTGCACTAATGGATACTTTCCAGGACAGAATCTCCTGACCTTTTTGAAGTAGGTTGTGTATGAATAAACTAGTGAACATAATCACATCCAGAGATTGTAGAGCAGGTTTTTCCACCCTTAGCCTGAGCAAATGTACCTATGTGGTACATTTCCCTGAGGAGATAGTATCTCTGATAGCAAAATTGTAATAGGTCTATGGTCCTATTTGTGGAGTAGGACCATAGTCCTTAGTGTTCACTGAGCTAAGATGGAACATTCTAGTCCTCCATGGAACTGCTATATAGAACTATGATGGAGGCTGAGGATCTCCCCTCAATATTAATTACCAATGCCCCTAAAAGATACATGCTTAAAGTATTTGATTCCTTCCCTTTATAAAATAAATTTTAAAAATTCCTGCTGATTTCAGGGGTCACAGGTCAGGCTAGACTGTAGTGGAGAGGTGAAGAGAGATTATTCCCATAATTTGGGGTCAGACAATTCCATGTACTTTTGATCTAGGATATGATCTCATCATTACCATTTTTAAAATTGTGGCTCCTTTGTCTCTTTTCTCATTCTTGACCAAAGGTTGTAATAATTTCTCAGAAAGTATCAAGTGATTGCATGTGGTGGATATTTTATAACTGCTGTCTACAACATATGGTCAGTGTCCTGAAGACAACTGTAGGTATCAAATGGAGTCTCTTGTGTACTGCTAACCTGGTCTAATAAGTATTCCTGTCAAAAGTATCAGCAGTATCAGACAGACCAGGCAGCATGCAGCCATTTCTGCATGGCATTTCTATTGCATGGTGCTCCCACAGGATGTGCAGCAAAATCCTGTACACCAGTGTCAAGTGTTCTGAAGTCAACAGGATTGTGTAGGATATGAAACAGTAGAAATATGGTTTTCTCATCTTTGAATATGAATAGTGTTTTTATATGTCAAGCTTTATTAATGTATTTTTAATCTATTTTTATTTCCAGGTAATCTCAAGGTGAAGACAGAAAATTATGTTTCAAAGCCCCCTTAGTGCAATTAAATTCTGGCAGATTTGTTTAGGTTTTGCATAGGAAGGAATGCTTTATGTGTTGTTTTGTCTTGTGTCCATTGCTACCTGGAAAATACAAATCCAATTGTATCTCAGGTTGCATGGAAACCCATTGGTTTCATCATAATTAATCTAAGATAATGCTAGATTTTCTTTTGATTATTGAGAGAATAACTTTCTTAATTATTGAGAGGATTGAAAAGCAGCTTTAAGCAAGTTGCTTTGAAGATTTCAAAAGTTATCTGTAGGTCAAAAATGGTTTTTTATGTGGAGAGTGAGTGAACAAAAATGTCTGTGGTCAGTTCTGTGTCAGCCATGAGAACTGGTCATCTAAAGCAGAGGTGACAGTGTCAACAAAGCATTCTTAGAAGGCTTGAAAGCCAAATCTTCAGCATGACTTTTGGGCACCACAGGGCCTTATGTTCTTGAGAGCATTTGGCATGGTCATGGCAGGTCTGTATGTGTACTGTGCACGTTACTTGTGAAACAGCTGTGTGTGTGAGTGTCTATGTCTCTCTGTATCTCTTGTCTGTGTGTCTGAAGAAGCTCTTCAGGAAGATTTACCACCATTGATCTTTAGGGGGCTGATTCTAATATTATGGACTATTTCAAATTATTGATATTCTCTGTGGCCAATGGGCATAAATGTTTGTGAAGAAAACAGTGAGAGGGAAAAAGAGAGAATTTTTAGGAATATGAGAGCATGTTTTAAAATTCCTTTTTACCCTACCTTTATGTGACTGCAAATACATAGCAAAACATGGATGTTATCTCAGTAGAAGCACTTTTTTCTCAACTCCAGTTAGTCCTCAGATTTCTTTCAAAGCAGAATAAAAAACTATTACAATTTAGAGAATGCCAGTCCCTTTTACCTGGATAACTGAGAGGCTCAGTTTCTGAAAGTGAGAAGGAAGGAAATGTATGAAGATGTGCAGACACTTTAAATACAGAACAAAAATAAAATAATGCAGAAGTGGGTGTTTGTTGTAGTCCTTATTGCATTATTCTCATATTTATGACTTACTAACATTGATAGTTAAAACCATATTGAGAACAAGAAAAGATATCATTCAAAGTCTTGAAACTTGTTGTCTGTACTAGATTGCCTCATAAAGTAAGGTTGAAAATTATGCGGTACCTGTTCCGTACATGGAAATGAACATTTTGTGTATGCACACAGACACAAAAATGTAGACACACATATGTGAATGTATTATTAACTATGAAATCATCACAGGGCAGCAGCCCTTCTCAAGTTTTCTGAGTGTGCCTTGCAAAGATGGTTAAATGTCACAGAATGAGATTCTAGCCTTCAACTGGCTTTGTGTGTAGTGAATAAAAGGAGACATGTGCCCTGGTTTGGAGGCTAATTAAGAATGTGTGCCTTACACCCATGCCTAAATTGTTTTATGCTTAATTTGAATAGGGAAAATCTAAACATGGAAGATGGAGGACCTCTACTTAAGCATTTGTCTTGGTACTGTTTATTTTCTGATGTTGTTGTAGACAACATAAGGAAGGAGCATGCCAGAAAAGAGAAGATAAAATGAAAATTTGTCAGTCAGGAAGTTCTACTGTGCTCCAGGGACCAAAATAGTGCAAATAGTTATTCTAATTCAGACAGCCTTGCAGATTCCTCCAAATTTTCTGTCCTGAGGTCTGTGGTATCATCCGGATAATCTATATTTCTTCTCTATTACCTCTAAGGCTTGTTTTTCTCCAGTACAGGCTTCTCCAGTCTTTTAGGTGCCTACATGTGTCAAAATGTTTGTAAGAAGTAGCTTTTTCACAGCCACATAGGGGCTTTCAGTGAAGGATTCCAAAGTCCACCAATGGTGAGAGACCCTTTCAGGAGTAAACTAAAGACTTACTGAAAATACTGAAAGGTAGGGAGGATAAACCACAGAGCCTAAAGACACAAAATCCTCGGAAGGAACTACTGTCCCTTAACAGAGGGATTAGATCCTCAGCAGCAATAATGAGAACCAAGCATCCAAATCCCTGACATTGCTGTGCAAATCTCAGTCACAGAGGATAAACAAGCCCCTAGGGAATGTGAGATGACAGCTAAGAAGATACTAGGGTATACCATTTCCCCTAATAAGACTGTAGAAAGTTGTTTATCCTGAAAAGAATATCAGTTGTTGAAATGTCAGACTTACATAGAAACTTCTACAATTCTAGCTTTCTATATTTTCATTGTGCACAAATCACCAGTCCCAGATTTTTAAAAGAGATGCTCTCATCTAATTACTTTCTCTATATGCATTAAATTTATACCTACCATGTACATGTGCAAAGTTAATAGCATATGTTGAGGTGGAGGAAGGTTGCAACCTACTTTTGCCTTTTGTTCTTCTCCATTTGGAGGTACACATGTATACAAGCCAGTGAATATTTTTGATGAAAACATAGCCACTTTTGCAAATTCAGCTTATTATGTCCTATCAAATTATTATGTACCATTTAAAAATATTTGCAGATTTGTTACTGGTTACAAAGACTGTGTTGTTCTATGCTTCAGAAGGATTCTAATTAAATCTTTCAGATGCCCCAATTGTGTAGTGCAAAGAGTTATGTGACATTAGGTGCAAATGCAGGAACTGTCTGTCCAATACAGTGCAGTATCACTGCTGTATCTTGAACAGAAACTTAAACTCCATTCAAACTAGCTGTTGAAAACAGATTACATTTTAAACCGGTACTGAGCTGAGAACACTGACTGCAAATACAGATGCCATTGCTTGAGTAAGTTCAGGTTGGTTGCTTTATGTATAAAAACATTTTACACATATCATAATTAATGCACAATCATCTACAAATATGGGAACTATATTTTAAATGTGTGGGTACTCAGTTGGATAACTCAGCATAGTTTCATCTGATTTTATGGATTGATTAAGAGTCAAAACCTCTGGCTATAATGAGGGGAAGTTGTGTCTTAGAAATCCTCTAGAGAAATACAAATTGTAAAAAAAAAAGTAAGGATGTTTTACACTTCTTCGTATTGATAGGTCAAGGTGAGGTCATTTACTAAGAAAAAACCCCAAAACTAAACAATGAAGAGGAAAAGTATTTTTAAAGTTAGTTTCTAGTTACTTTCAGTTTCTCTGAACATTTCAGTTAAAAAATTAAAATCTCTAGGACTTAAAGACCAAGTGCAAGGGAAATGCTTGTATCCAAACTATAAAGAAATCCCTCATTTCACCTAAAATAAACTAACCTAAACAAAAATAATCATGTTTACAAATATTTCTTTCCCATTAAGAAGTTCTTATGATTATAAAAAAAATCTATTTTTTCCCTAATGTTAATAGATAGTATTCCCTGAAATCTCCAGGGGGGGGAATTTTCATTTAGAAGTAACAAAAGTAGTCATTAAAAGAAGTATGTGATACACTCAATATAAGGTCTAGCCCACTTCTACTGGAAGCAATAGCATTGCTCTTGATAGAAAAGACAGAAGGGGATTCTTCCCATCATGTCCATCCTGTAACTAGTACCAGTTCATTCAATATGAACCCTTCTATATTAATGAGATTGATGGTATCATAATCTGGTTATTGCTATTTTATAATTTTATAACTCTTCCACACTACCCTAATGAGGATTAACCCACACATCCTCCCCTTCCCTAAATATCCTTTCACTTGATGCTGTAGCATATGATATAAAGTAAAAAAGAAAGCTTATGAAAGACAGCTTTTATTAAATAATCTCTTTTCCCTCAAGCGGAAACTAGTGAACAAATACTTTAGTTCATGAGGAAACTTTTGCTTTCCAGCTGTTAAATGCCTTGCTGAATCATAGGTAGTGTTAAACTGTACAGGGGGTTCATAAAGCAGTCAAATTTCAAGTCACTATAAATGATTTTTGGAAGTGTTCCTTTGAGAACAGATCCAAAAATTGACAGCTAGATGAACAGGAACAGAGTTGGCTTCCGGTGTGTAGTAAAACCACTGAAAAACAATGTGGCTGTGAGAGAAATGGTTTCCTGGGTAGAATTTAGCTGGTTTTCCTCCTACAGTCATCTAAAGCCTTCTGAAAGTATAGTGCTCAAAGCAGAGGACTTACACCACGCACAAGCCACTACATTTACATCTTGTTTCACAGAATTTCTCTTTAGAATCAGCAGGTTTTGGAAGTTAAATTATTTGAAGTCGTTTTGTGTAAAGTAGTTGTTAGTATATTGACCATCTTTTTAATATGATCACTTTGATGTGCACAGTAAATAATCATGTCTTAAACTATTCTATTTCTTTCTAAATATCTCTAAATAGTATCTCTATATATTTTGTATGCATTGCTACTAAACCCTTTCAAATATATTTATGCATTATGCTGAGTGGATTGATCATAAAGAAGCATTTTGCTATGGGAAAATAGGTACAATAGAGCAATTATTATAACTCTAGCTAAAGTTCATATTTTTTAGACTAGATTCTTTTTCCTCTTGCTCCTTTCAGAAATACACATTTTAAAAAATTGGTTTCCTTTGGTTTGTTTGTTATTTTATTCCTAATGCTTCTCATCTGCCATCTAGTAAAGGTCATAGAAATATTAATGTACTTCCTAAGCAAGAGGACCAAAAAGCTTTGCTTTCAACATAGCTTAGAGTATGGGGATGCAAATTGCAAAAAATCAGTGGCCTGTATCTTCTCACAGATTTATTTAGTAATGAATATACCAAGTGAAAGGGAAAGGTAAACAATACAGATAAACAACTTCATGGTAGGAAAATTATATAAGAGGCAGTGGTGATCTTAGCCTGAAATCTTGAAAATGACTGGAGAAAATAAGGTACTTATAGAGAAGCCAGAAACCAAGAGCATTTAATAACTGGAAACTTAGGTTTGTTTTACTGTAGATGGAAGATACAGTTCAGCTACAGCTAAAGTTCAATTAAAAGGAGAAAAACATCATGAACAAGTGGAGAATTTGTGTTGCTTTCAGAAACTGAGCAGCTAAGTACCATTTACTTGTCAAAGTCTGGCAAAGCAGAGGAGAAAAAAGTTAAATTGGAGTATTCCCCTTCATTGGTGGCTAAAGTCTCCTTGTTTCGGGTTTCAGCATCTCTAAGCCCTTGCTGTCTTTTCTGCCACTCCAGCAATGTGGTGCTCAAGGGGCCTGACTTACACCTTAGAACAGGACTCTACGTTTTTCCCAGTGTGCAGGAATACAAAGCAGACCTGCAAAGTATGTATCAAGCCATCCCAGAGGAGATTGCTACCAAAATACTGAGTTCTCAGGCAGGATGGCTGCTTACGACCTCTTGCATGTCCAATTGCACCTAGAATATGTAATTGCTGGCTTTGCAGTAAGGATTGAGGACATCCCTTCTCGTGCAAGTATTTAATGGTAGTAAGTCAAGACTGTGCCTCACATCTTCTCTGAAAAACACCAGGTCTGAGAGCAGCCTTAGAAAATAGTCTGTAAAGGCTGAGAAGGGAAATAAATGCCCAAATCATCCCTCATTTATAAAATGTGACTTTCACTGGGGGCTGCTCAGAGAAATAGGAAGCCAGCCTAGGTGCAGTTGCTTTTAAGCATCCACATTCCACTGACTAGTAGTTTTGTTTGCCTGCAAGAGCAACTTTGGAGCATTGCTAGTTCAGCAGCTGGTCACACTGGAGTGTCATAAGAGGTGCTCCTTCTGCTTATACTGCAAGACTATGGCAGTATCTGTCTTATATAGAGACAATTTGAAGCCATTGAAAAGACAATAATCAGGTTCCATCTTTAGATAAAAGCCATTGGATGGCCTCTTGTTGTTATCCTGTATGAAACAAATCTGTATATGTAAATTACATGTACACTCATTATCTTAGGATTTTGTCATGAACTCCAACATTCTCAGAATTAGAATAAATGAGGGCTGTCTCTCAGTTCATTGCTGGCTCTCAGTTTTAGAACAGCATACACCTTGCTGAATATTGTAGCGTAAACCTTCTCACTGATGTTTACGACCTCTAAAAACT